TACCACTACCGACTTTGACCTACTCGCACAGACATATACATATCTTCTCTGACGCCATCCACCGTCAGCGCAGCCGCCGACCACTCCAATATGCCAGCAAGAGATCCAGTGGCTACCATCTTATCCCCTCCTCCCGCTCACCAATCTTCTTTCAACCATCATCAATCTCCCTCGTCGTCCGCTTTCTCGCGTATCAGCAACAATGCATTGTCTACTTCACCTTTGGGAACAGGTCTGGGAGATAATGGTCTTGTACGACGAGCTCCTAGCTCTTCAGACAGAACGGGTATAGGTATAGGTATCGGTCTACCCGAGACATTAGATACGTAAGTTGATTTTGTTCCATCGCTTCATTCCTTTGCGCACTCTCTCACCTGCCCCACCCACCATAGGGTGGGAGTGATTCGCATGACACATACCAAGAACTTATCCGACACATGATCGTCAAGCACGGAGACGTAAGAAGATGCAATGCTAACGTTCTAGCACGTCAGACCCAAGTATACCACCTTCGAGTCAATCCATTAGAGATTCTACCAACCGTCTTGCCTCTTTATCCTCTATGTCTTTTAATTCACCTCGACCTAGAGCTTTGTCAGCTTCGGACTCTTCCAATTTTCTCCGTACTCAACGTTCTTTCTCTCCCTCTTCCAAACCTCCCGACGCTCACAGACCCGTTCACCCTAGTCATCTTGCTCGGATATCTACGGTAGATGAGGAAATCTCTCCTCCCAGTCCAAGGCGCCCGGTGATACCGGTCGATGATAACAGTGGACTGGCTAACGAGGATTGGAGTCCGGAAGGCAGTAGCTCACCCCTATCTACTTCACCTAGAATGCCCGGCACTCGAGTAGCACGATCGGGATTGAGTGTCATGTTAGCTCGAGAGGATAGAAGAAGAGCAGCGGACGCTTCGCGTTCCCCTCCCATTCAACCAATCACTTCACCTATGCCCGAGAGTATCATGCCTATTCTTGGTAGTCCCACTTCTGTCTCTTCTCAACTGGACAAGGGGCAAAGGGAATCACCACCACGAACACCCGTAAAAGGTTTCGTTGCAGAGATAGCGGAAGAGTCGGATGAAGAGAGTTTGGACAGTGGGCTGAGGAGGATCTTGGCGGAGCAGGTTATGGGGAATGATGGTATGGATGAGAGGACACCACTGCTGGGGATTAGTGGAGGATCGGGGAGAGGGAGATTATGGGATGCGTTTGGTAGAAGGGTCACCAAAGTATCAGGAAAGGAGCTGTTGAAAGAGGCAATAGTTGAGCCGGTCAAGGCTCTTCCTTCGGTTATACTGGGAACATTATTGAATGTACTTGACGGGGTCAGCTACGGAATGATATTGTAAGTCTCTTGCCACTCGCTCTATTCTCCACTCTTTACTCGTTGCCCCTCTTCCCTCCTACTCCTTACACTCATCACTCCTTCAGCTCTGCGTCCACCGCTCCATGGACCTCAATTGAAGCTGTAAGAAGATGACCTGACCTACAGATTCCCCGCTAATCCGGTATTCGAAGATTTTGGCTCACTCGGAGTTTCCATGTTCTTCATGTCGTACGTCGTGTCCCCATCTTCACTTGCTACCATCTTCATGTCACATCTTCATTCCACTCTTTGTCTTCTACCCGTGCTAACATCTCAGATGTATAGTCTCCCAATTGGTCTTCTCACTCGGAGGCAGCATATTCCCCGGCGGAAACGGATCCATGATGATTGAAGCTGTCCCATTTTTTCATATCTTGGTCAACATCATACAAGCGGAGTGTGGTGACGATGTGAGCTTTGTCGTCTACTGGCGGGTCTGAGCTGATATAGGAGGCAATAGAAGTGATATCTACCACCATGGCGGCATTTGCATTCAGTTCGATCCTTACAGGTCAGTGTCCTGGTACGGAAGTGTGGACAGAGCTGATGTGCAGGTTTCGTATTCTTCGCCTTGGGAGCATTCAAATTGGGTACTCTTATAGGTTACTTCCCACGGCATATCTTGGTTGGGTACGTCATATGTCTATACTTGAACTCCCACAATCTCAAGCCATCACCCTCACTCAGCATTCGTAATACCAGTTTATTATCACACATCAGCTATTCTCATCCTCGCAGTCCATGGCAGTTCTGTATCAAGACATGCCGGCAACGGGGTGCTAGAGTAGTGAAAGACGATCTGACACGTAGTTGCATAGGAGGCGTAGGAATTTTCTTGATTGAAACTGGACTTGAAGTCTCCCTGGGGCTCAAATCTGAAGGTTTCGAATACAACCTTGGAACTCTACGTCTATTCTTTTCCTCATCACATGCCATATTACTGTGGACTATCCCTTTGACCCTTGCGATCTTGTTGAGAGTTATCACTCATTTTTTTCATCATCAACTCATCTTCCCTGCTTATTTCTTTGTCATTCCTATAGTGTTCTATGTGGTTGTCTTGGCTGGAAGATTGGATTTTGCCGATTTACGCGAGACGGGTTGGGTCTTTGATGTGGGTAAGAACACACAAGCGTGGTGGAAGTTTTATACTCTATTCGTGGGTCTTTCCACTCGTGCTTTCTCATCCTGTTCCATGCCTATCAGCTTTGTCTTGAATGGCGCCTTATTACATGTTCTGCGAGCACTACACGCATATTTCCAAATTTATCACTACAACTCGATCTTCACTGAACGTTCGCACTTTGTCCAGCTTCAAAATCTTCTGTCTCGCCTGCCAGTCGAATGAGTAGACAAGCGAGTGACGGAGAACGAAAATATGGTTGACAACTCAGGACTTTGCTCAAACAAACTGGGGAGCATTTTGGGCAGCCATGCCTACTCAACTTGCCCTAGTCTTCTTTGGTATACTCCACGTTCCACTCAACGTCCCTGCTCTCGGAGTGTCGTTAGGAGAAGACAACGTCAAACTCGATCGCGAATTAGTAGCTCATGGAATATCCAACTTCGCCGCGGGATTGACGGGGACGGTACCAAATTATTTGACTTATGTCAATACTGTCCTCTGTGGGTATCCATTGACTGTCTGTCCTCTCTCATCTCGTACATCTACATCAAGTCATGCACACGCGCACTCATGTCTATTCTTCATCCCCTTTTCCTTTTCCCGTCACTTGTCTATCATATTGGAAGACTCGCAGACGATTGTTTTTTGGCTTCGGTCCGTGCGGAAAACTCATTCCTGGCGTTGTGACTAGAGGTATCAGTGCTGATCCCAGTTTACCGTGTAGGCGGTGGTTCAAGACTCTCCGGTATAATGCTAGCAATCATGACAGCTCTTATCATGTTCGTTGGACCTACAGTCATCGGCTACCTACGTAAGCTAGCTTTGTGGTGATGGAGTGCAAGCTGACAAGTAGCTGTGATGGTGGTAGGAGCTCTGATTTTCGTTTTGGGTATTGACCTCACTATTGAGGCAGTGTGGGATACGAGACATAGAGTGAACAAGATGGAGTATATCACTATATGGGCTATCGCTATCGGTATGACTGTGTGAGTTGGGACGTTTGACATCTTCTCCCTTAGTCTACTCCTCGCTTGCACTTTTTGCGTTCTCCTCTCCACACGTATTTGTACAATTGGTGATTTGAGCGTCCCTTTAGTATAATCAGGCATTTGAGATACCATACCTTCTCGGCGATCTCGCTGCTGTCGCAACAACGAGACACATATAGATCGATGTTGAACCGCCTCCAATCTGCTATAAGGAGTGTGAAAGATGATGCAAACAAGTAAAGAAGTAGAACTAATGTCAGATGGGACTTTGTCATTGGTCTCTTATTCGGTATCGTACTTGCCTGCATATTTTTCGTGGTACAGAGCTCTCGACGCCGCGCCATCCGGGCTGTATTCAACGGTTCCAACGCCAAGTCAACCGTTCGACGACCGAAGAGTCAGAGAGGGTTCTTGCAGAAAGTTGGCTCTCAAACTTATGTCATGAAGTTACAAGGATTCCGTGAGTTTGGCACTTTGCATTCATGCCCCTGCCTCAGCCACACCTCCGCTTTCCATCCCTGCCACTACTCCTGTCGCATAGCCTCCCTAGTATTCTTAATGACCTTTCCTAGGCCGCTTCTCTAAACGGGTGTGCAGTGGAAGAGACACACTCTAACTCCCAGTCTTCTTCGGTACAATTTCGACAGTCGAAGAAGAAATCCGGAAATTACTTGATCTGGCAAAATGGCAACATAACCCTATTCGATTTCTGATCATCGACTTCACTTTAGTCCACGGATTAGACTTTTCCTCTGCTGAAGCCTTTGTTCGTGTACAGCGGTTGTTGGCTGCTAAAGACGTGCTATTGATCATGTGCGGAGCGGCACCGAATGGGTTGGTAGGGACTGCATTACGGAATGTAGGTTTGTGGGCGGATAGGGAGGGAACGAGGGTGGAAGTGTTTGGGGGGTTGAATGATGCTTTGGAATGGAGTGAAAATGCATATTTGTGAGTAGTGGTGACGACCTTTTCTTCTGATCACCGCCCTCTTCGAGCTTCCTTTCCCTCCTCTCCTCGCCCATCGCCGAATCTTCCTCCTCCTCGCGCCACACCTCTCCCGTACATGGACTCACTCTCTCCCCGCGACGGATGAGGCGAGGTTTGCACGTCTATCATGCCTGCCAGAAAGAAACGACAATCTCGCGTATATGCAGTCTTTGGTCAAACTGACAAGCAGAACCGCATTCTATGCCAATCAGAAGTCGGAAGAATCTGGTGGTCCGATGGACTTTCCAGCAGTTGCAAAACCTCCTTTTGCTCTTACTGCATCGTTTCAAAATAGCCCTCGAAGGTCTCATCTAGCTCAAGCAGGTGATGATTATCTTCCATTTGGTGGGTATCACATCTCCCTCTTATCCCCCTCCACCCTCGATACTTCTCTCTTTCACGTCGAGCCTTCCGCGCAGAAACTTCCCCGTAGAGGTATTGTCAAGAGTCTTCGACGAAATATGTCTTTCTAACAACCAGGCTTCACGCATACTCGTGATCCATCCCACGCAGTCCCAATTTACCCTCAACCACTTCCAACACTCTTACAAACTTTCACAGACTATCTTCCCCCCGTCTCACCCTCCCAAGAATCAATCACATTCTTTCGTCAACTCGCACCGTACTTCTCACCACTCATCATACCCTCTCATCACGTTCTCTGGACGCAGGGTGAACAAGCCGACGGATTGTACCTCATCGAAAGTGGTTCTCTCCGAGCTACATATGCGTTTGACGACTATCCCACGAGGGTGGAAGAGACTATGGTTGCTGGGACTATAGCAGGGGACCTTAGTACGTTGAGCGATACGAGAAGGAATGCTACGGTTGTGAGTGAGAGAGAATGTGTTTTGTGGAAATTGGACAGTGAGGCTTTGGGAAGGTTGGAGAAGGAAAAGCCGGATGTGGCCAGACAATTTGTGCAAATTGTTCTGAAAGGTGAGTCACGGATGTGTTTGCTTACGGTTATAGTATCCCTTTCTTGGACTAACCCTCTTTCGTACCTCACTTGGCTGCTCTAGTCCATCCCACCCCTATGTTTCAACCCCATCATGGTGGTCTTCAGATACCGAGGTAACAAGGCATAGAAGCGCCAATGTGATGAGGATCTAGGCCGATTGTGGAGGGGAATAACTTAGGGATATGACACAGTGTAGACAAGTATGATGGACGGGAAAAGTGACGTGAACGGGAAAATGTCATATGCTGATATAATAGCCGTGGCGGAAGAACAAGAAGTTTTATCAGCTCATCTGATCGCTATGCTCTCATGACGTTGTTGGTCAGTTATGAATCCCCACCCTATGTTTAGTCTCGATCTTGCAACGATGGACTGATCACGTCGATACCCAAAACCCCTTCATTTGTCTGTGGGATGTGAGAATTGAGAAATGAGAAATGAGAAAAGGAAAAGTATATAGAAGTTGTATTGCTGGAATTGAATGCATCGCATGGTTTGTCTTGACATCACCGTGAATCGTTCATCGTTCGCTGTTCACGTCGTCTCTTCCACCCCCCTGGCCCCTGATCCCTGGTAACCTGGAAAGCTGAAGCCGGGATCTCCGGGATCCGGGAGAAACTTCGATCGGCAAGTTATCATTGATCATTGATCATTGATCATCGAGCAGCTAGCAGCTAGCATCTATTGGCGGCTACGCGCGGCTAGCGGCTAGGGGCTGGTGAACATGATGTTACATGCTATGGTCATGGTGTCATGGTACGGTAACACGGGTGATGATGATGGGTGGGAAAGAAGTGGATGACGTCAAAGAGATCGATCGACAGGCACAGAAACGTGTCATCATCGATTCAACTCATTCTATGATCTGGGAACAAACTTATATAAACTAACAGACAATTTGCTCTTGGTCAAAGTAACAATCAGATACATATTCAATTTTCTTTCAAACCAAACGGATCACTATCGAACTACACAAAGAATAATAATGTCTGAATCAGCTGGAAATGCTATCAAAGCAGTTGGGGATGCTTTTAAAGTACGTTTCGTTCTTCACTCTCTCTCTTCCTCAACGAACATCCCTTACTTTCCTATCTTATCACCCACATCTTTCAGGTATCCCGCGCTCTGGTGCTTGTGTCCGGGTAATTTCTTATGCGATCTATTCATTTCACCCGAGATATGAATCCATGAGTACCAGGCAAGTTATTCAGTCACTGACCAACAGTCGGACGGAGCGATAGGAAGTAACTTTAACGCTGATGGTGCTATTGGTGGTACTGCCCAAGCTGGTAAGTTTATCCCTACTGCTGTCATGAGCCTAAGAAGGAAAGGAGTTGATGTTTAGTTGGCGGACCATTTGATAAAGATGGTGCTGTTGGTAAACAGTGAGTACTTGGCATCATCGATTCAATCGGAATATCCTTCTCTTCCTTGTATTCCATTGCACTTTTGATAGATTTGACCTGGATATATTCACGTTTCTCGTACAATCTTGCAACCTCCGGGTTTTGGTGATGGCAGTGACGGTTATGGTGATGACGGTGGTACTGATGGAAATACGTTGGTGGAAAGCTTTATCTCATTTTGATGATTGTGTCGAGAAAAAAGAATTAATAATCAGATTCACTGATAAAGGCGCTGTAGGTGGTACAGCCGAAGGTATGGGCCAAGAAGCTAGTCGAGTTGGTGAAGAGGTCAAGAAGTAACCTACTGTATTCACTTGTCAAGTCAGATAGTGCAAACGGGAAATTGTGTATTCAGTGGGATCACACGTATGTACATGTCCATGTGTTGGGCACACTTTTTATATCTGTGGACAGGCATATCTGCAATTCACGATGACTGACATGGGTCATATCTTATTCATGTTTGTCTTAAAACGTACATAATTATCATTTTGTCAGAATTGGTTTTACTTTTCAACTGCGACGTGAAATCAAGGACCAGAATGTATCTGTTCCGCCGCTACTCCCGCTTCGGCAGCTTCCAGTCGGTATGATCTTTTCGTTTTGGGTTCGATTATACCTATATCGTCATTCACTCTTCCCTCTTTACTCGTTTGTTCCCCGCCATTATCACTGATAACAAGTTCGGTTCGTGTAAGTGAAGAAAAAGGTGATTATGAATATGTTGGGAAAAAAAAAAAAGGCATAACTTTGTGGGAGTAAAGTGAGACTTACCAAATATCACCACATCACCTAATCCCAGACCTGAAACGGACAACAAAGTAAGGATATCAACTCCTAAATTCGTCTCTGAGCTCCTTCGAAGAGTCACCAAAATAAATCTCGATCTTCACATCAGCATACATCCATCAACCAAAATACCTCGACTCACATGACCAAAGCACAAATCAATAAATGCTATCATCGTCAGTTTGTCGTGATTGTATTCAACAACTGACTCACCGTAGCAGGGAACCAAATTAAAAATTGTTCAGTTTTCTTATTCATACAACTTGCCAAACTCTTCACTTGAACTTGCATTTCCTTTGATTCCATTTCCTCACCATCCACATCTTCCTCTTCTCTCTCCAAAATCACATTATCATCAATATGAACTCGTCCATTCTTCCCTCCATTCAAAGTGGCAGAGCGTACCAACCTACCTAACCCACTGGTAGTACCGGCTCTTCCTCTTCCTCCAGATGTCCCAGGTCGACTTTTAGCTCCTAATTTTCTTTCTTCAGCATCAGGAGGTGGAGCGTATTTTAACATTCCCCAAAAATCTTCTTCCGATTCTTCTCCTTCTCCCAAATGAGAATTACTTCGCTCGGGTTTATCAAGAGATGAAGAAGGTCTAGCCAGACTGGTCACTACAGTCACGTCACTAGCAAGACTAAGTCCGCTGATGGTACTACTACAGCTCACTCGACTACGTTTACTGGAAGTACTACTGGAGCTAGCCGAGCTGGTAGTGGAGAAGGTCCTTCGATGAGGCAAATACACCGGATCGGGTTTAGGTATATCCACACGGAAATCAGATTGCATTGCTAGAGATAAAGGTGTCAATCCTCCCATTGTCCCGAATTCGCTCAGGGGTTTTTCAGTGTTTGGGGAATGGATTTGTTCTTTGGTCGGCGAGAGTGACAGTATGGGAGGATCTTCCGCAAGGGGAGATAATTGAGAAGGAGAGGAAATGACCAGAGCTTCCCATGGTGGTAGCATTGACGAGGGAGACGTACCCCGTCTGAAGCGAGAGGTGGAGAGACGGTCAGGTTGAGGAGAGAAGTGATATGTTAAAGAAGGACGGCGGAGGAAGTGAACGAGAGTCAGGTAAGTGAATGTGATAGTGAGCGAGGCGAGTGTTCTGTACGTCAGGTCTTGAGATTTCAGATGATCATAAACCAAGAGGAAGATTTCGAAGGAGGTAGATAGAATGAGTGCAGGATCATACGATCGCTACGATCAGATAATAGATCGAGCCGGGGTGGAGACGGGCGAGATACATACCGAGGGATGAACTGCATTATCTCGGCACCTTGGGAAGATGTGGAGCCTGAAAGTGAGTCAATAAGTAGTGCAACCCAGAATTTGTCGCTTACCGTATAGACAAAACGTGCTGACCCAAGTCAGCTTTCACACTCAAATCAACCTTTTGTGAGAGAAAGATACCTGGTTTGCGTATACTACACATCAGCATACCCAAAACATGGAGAGTTGAACCTACCCCGTGTAGGCCAAGCCATAGGGTACCTTGTAATAATCCTACTGAGAAGACTGTAAGGATGATGGTCCATGGTCGAGCTTCGGCAAACAATTGTATCCCGGCCAGGGGATGCCGTAAAGCAAGGTAAGTAGTTCCAGCGATGGCCTGATTTTAGCGATGAGCCACAATAAGTAAAGATGACTTACTGTGGCGAATCCGCATTGCCTGTCCAGTCAGCATATCTTCACATGTGAACCGGTGATCTGTGGCGAAGATTGTAGAAGTAAGAGTAAGGGAATGTGGAACTTACCACCATGTTGCGGAAGCCATTAATAGACCAATGATTCCTCGTGCAGGACCGTTGATTTTGTGATGGTGAAGAGACATCGCTCCCGAGATGGACGATGCTATTCTGAGAATCATCAGCAACTTTCCCGACGACAAAAAGAGGGATGACTCACGCGATGGTGACATCCCCAACCATTAGACAAATCACCAACATCTTTCGTAACCTGCTGGTGCTGCTTCCATGATCGTAACCTTCACGCCAGGATTTCACATTTCGCAGAAGCACCCATCCTGCTCCTAGAAGAGTCACTGAGGAAAGTGTTATACTGGCGACGCCTATAGGCTCCATTCCGACAATCCGACACTGTGTTTACGCCACAAATATCTGTACACGCCTTTGTCGCGCAGCTTGACGGCTTCTTGATCTTCAAAACTCGTTTGCGACTGTTGAATGTATTTCTCTCCCTGATTTTGATGATGATAGTTAGTGAATAAGCAACGTCCCTGTAAGCTGGTATGATTAGGATGAGCATTCACACCGCTCCGACTGAACCAGTCCCCACTAGCTCTGCCATTTGCGATCGAATACCATGACACTCAAATCTCATTATCTTACCCAATACGGGTTCTTTGCGGTTGTTTGCGCTACCAGCGGTCAAAACGTCAGTTGATTCCGTATCGCCTCACCGAATGCATGTATGCTGATTTTGTACGGTCGAAGGATCACCGTGCGCGGTACAATGACAATGAAGTATGTATAAGTGATGGTGCGGTGAAAGATCGATGCGGTGTTTAACAATTGTTCAAGCTGAGAACGAGAACGTTGGTTGCACGCAAGTTGAGCTTGCGTTCTGTAATGTCCGGTTTGTAAGAGATACCATTGAAGTAAGTTTGCCCAAGCTGAGATTGAGCGTGTTCGTTGCTTGAGCGTCTGGAGTAGCCAGTGAACTCACGAGAGCATCAGATTTACGATATCCTGTGAATGTGTCAAAAAATCCTTGTTGTCTTTTCTCGAAATACTGTTGTTCCCTTTTCGTCAATCCCTTGATATGATATCCGCGAACAAGGCAACTCACATAACTCTGACCGCTCTGTAGAGACATCAGCTTCGCGAAGCAAGAAGATGGGGACATCTCACCTGGGATGCATCTCTCCAAGCTCATCCACGTATAAAGGGCTCGCAAAGACTGGGGGTTAATTAGTCTCACATGCATACAGAGTTGAATTACAATCAAAAATGCCCTGTAACACATCGGTCAGACTAGACTTGTCAGTTGATATGAAATATCCCACAAGGACTCACTTGACTCCTAGTCGATTCGCTATCCGTATGCTCCATCTGAAATTCAGTCTCCTTACTAATCCAGAAGCTTACACCGTACTAACCCTGTATCCGAGTGTAATAGATGCAGCTCTTCGACTTTGGGTGATGTTGCGGGTTGATAACGTTCTTTAATCAATCTATTTTGAGCGTGTGTTCTCTTCGTTTCATCTTACTCACTCTGGTCGTCAGCTAGTGTCAACACTGATGCAATGACCCTCACTCACCTGTGGGAGTATCATCATAGTCTATATATATACAGGCCATCGCCGGGAACTCGACCGCATTCCAGAATATGTATTTCTCTTTGTCAGCTCCCTGACCATGTCCAGTAGGTGAGTCAGCTGACTCCGTACGGTTCTACCATGTCAGTTCGATATCGAAATCATAATTAGAAACAAGCTCACTCGGATCCCATGTCACACATTCTAACAGGGGATGTATGATCAAAGGTTTTGGTAATCTGGCCGCTTGTAGATATGGAACCAGTACTCCGGCTTGATGACCACCTTTGAAAGGTCTACGCCCGTCAACACCGTCCGATACATTGGAGAGTACCGAGAGGGACTCACCCGATAGCCACAGCTGGATCGAACTTTGGCATTTTGACAAGTTTGGGTTATCGACACAGTTCAAGCATACTCACAGGAGGGTTGGTTTGAAGAAAGTTCAACATGTTACATGTTCGACAGAGGTATATATACCGCATGACCGTTAACGAACGTGCGTCAGTACAGGTCTAAGTATAGGAGGTCATAGTGGTCAAGGACTGATGGCAGTCGGTCAGCTGATTGTGTGTGTGTGTGTTTGACTGGAAGGGAATGCCCGGAGGTAATTATACCCTTTTCTCTGGATCCGAAGCGATTTCTCGTACTTGTGAATAATCTGGTACCCGAGTACCATTAGGTTGAGAATGGCCTGTTGCCATGGTGGTGAAGAGACGTATATGTGTAGTTCTTCGCCATGGGCCAGAGCAAGGTCTAAGGTCTCGTCGCTCAGCGTTTCAATTTTCCCACGGTGTAACGGTGATCTCGATCGATCGAGAATCGGGGTGCACCTGACGTCACCTCTTCCTTTGACATCCAACGCGCTCTCAAGATCAACATTCCTAGGTACTGCAATGTCCCACAAGTCATCTTCTTTCCTTCAGTCCTTACCTGGCGCCATACCTAGACACCCGGCACGACCCATGTCAGCTGTAGCTAGTCATATCATCCCTCCCTACGCTGCAAACTTCCCATCGTCCACAGCTCAACCCTCGTCTATCTTTCCCTTTCCCGGGGTCACTCCTCAGTCCACCCGCACTGTCCGAAGGATTTTAGAGGAGAATGACAAGACGTATGATATTTGGGAGAAGGCTAGATGTGAGCTTTTCTTCTTACATAGTACATACCTGACTTGATCCCAGTTGCACATAACCATTTCCCACATTCCGCTCTCACCCGCTACGCTCTCGGAGCTCCGTCGAAGCTGTTGGAGGAGGTTTGGGAGCATGACCGAAGTCATCTAGTGTCACTTGACCCCTCCGGGAAAGATAGACATGAGAATTTGAAGAAGGTGCCAGAGAAGATTACAAGGGAGAACTGGGATGACCCAAAATACCTCGGTGTGAAAGCGTTGGTCTGGTCCATTCCAGTGAAGTAATGTTCGCTGAAATTCGCAGGTGTTATTCTCGATACTTAGTTTTTTTTCATGAAGAGATTGATCGACTGGGTCCGATTGGTGCTCTAGAAGAGTACATTTTATCGCCTCAAGCCGTCTGTTTCATTCGTCATTCTACACACTCGAACTGAGTTTTCAGAACTATGCGAGCGCAAACGGTCATGAGCCACCTTTGATGCTAATTCGCTTTGTGGGTGGACTTTTACACCCAATGATCCATGCTGGTTTCGGAGTGGAGTTCAAAGACCGTGTGATTCTGGCAGAAGGGTAAGTCTCCTCATTCTGCATATGTACTGCTTACAACTTCGTTTAGCCTGGCCCAAGCTACCAACCACGATGCCTCACTCTATGTGCCTCTCTACGGCAGCGACTGGCCAAAGTCACTCCATGGCGAGACCTCGTCCCACCTTCCGAGAATGAACAAAACAACAAAGAAGACGTCATGGGATATGGTTGCTTCCCGCAGAGGTCCCAGGAAGGGTAGATCGTTGCTGGACCTATACGGCGAAATGTGCGCTTCGTCGGTGATCACACCGGTACCTTACGACCCCGATATGCTCTTCAATGATCGGGTCGGGGGTGCATTGTCAGGAGGGCATGCTATCGCACTAAGGGAGCTGGTCGACCAGTGGAGTTTGACCGATGAGGAGTTGTCTGACGAAACTGTAGGATGGAGGGAGAAGGTAGAGGAGCTGGCTGTATGGGCGACTTTGTTGGCTGGCGCGACTGGTAGGACCGGGAAGGAGCCGAGGGTTGATTTCTTCCTGGTAAGTTCCGGTTTCCCTTCTTTGCTGCACGCCCGTGGGTGGGTGTGGGTAATAAAGGAAGATGATAGTGCATAGTACAAGGCTGATAGGCAGATGCACGCCCTGACATCTTCAATCTTTCTTCCGGCTTATCTGGAGATTCTCTCCATCTCCAACCGCCGTATGCTGCTCAAAAGCTATACACTCATGCTTTTCGTTATCGCTCTGGGAAGGGGTCGACCAAAGCTCAACCCAGGACTCGTGATGTCGTATGACCTTTTTCCCGTCGCCCCTGGGACAGAAGTGAAAGCTTCCAGGGAGACGGTGGGGGATGCTTCGGATAAGAACACGAGGAATGCTTGGTTGACGTTGATCGAGAGTAGTCTGTATGCTAACGGTGAGTTGTCACTTTGTCGTGCCATTTTATATGCAGTCCCCTTCTTCACTGATTCTTCGGTTCACCCAGCATGTGACGGGATCTAAAGAGGGAGTGATACGAAGAGTAGACTGATGACAGACTCTCACGTCCCAAAATCCATTCGAGCATTGATGTATCATAACAACCATTTCGGTTCTCTTCTCCCAAGTCAGATATTCGGGGCCTATCGGCCTGATGGAAGTGAGACGATAGAGGGTATAGGCCAGGTAGACGGTACCCTGTTTCTCAGGGTTGCCGGTGTGCTCATGGACGTCATGGGATGGGTGAGAGAGGGACAGTCTGACGGTGGGTGGGACAGGAGTGGGTTAGGATATGATGAGGCGTGGGAGTGAAGTCATCAATTCATTTTCGTGCTACATACAGTACATTCGCGATAACACTTGTACAAGTACAATCAACATCTTTCACTTCCCTTCACTGTACCTCTCTTTCTTGTATTATCCTCATCTATTGTACATCCATTATATCTATCAATGCATCTCTAAAACCATAAAGTCATCAATCATCCAATAGTCATACATACATACAGAAACCTCCCTCACGTGCTCTGTCCCCTTTCGATCCGAAACTCTTCTTTCACCTCACATTCTTTCCCTGTGAAACCGACCACTCAGACCCCATCCTTCCAAGCAGATTTCTCAGCTCTATTATTCCCTTCCTTCTGTTTCTCTTGATCCCCCATCACGATCCCTTGAACACTTTCTAACTTCCCTTTCAACCCTTCTTTACTAGGTATAGGAATAGATAAAGGTGAATCGGAAGAAGCTTGTTTATATTTCCATTGAGCCTTTTCAGCTTCTACATTACCTTGAATTTGTTTATTTTGATCGTTTGTCAAATAACCTGTCATCCTGAGAGTCAGACCCTTTTTTTTGTCTTAGTATTACACAAGAACAAAACCCTTTTTGTACTACACCCCTGGTAATGACTGTTTTCTCAATGTGATTATTTACAGAAATACCAATAAACAACTTAGTTCATGGACTGATTCCAAGCGATCGATTTTGGTGAATTAAGTATTACAAGACATGTGTCACGGGCGTCGAACAACTATCTTCTGGCAGACCGACGGTCGACGAACCTCGGCTAACTTGATGCTCCTGAGTCGAAGTCTCACCCAACCGAGAGGGCGCAGACGTCGAAAGGAGTGTAACTACGGCGTACTTCGGCGTAGTTACTCTAACTGGGGTTTTGTTTTACTGATGGCGATGTATCTCGAATTGTATATAGCTATCTCTATCTGTTTTTCACTACTGACAACAATCAAGGATCGCTGAAGAACTTCAGCGATCTTCTCAGCTAATATTATCTACTCCTCCTAGACGTTCATCCAACCCTCTCGCGCTTTGACGTACTTCAACGCACTTCGTCCAACTTCCCCGAGCCCTCGGCCATCCTCTTCCTCCTTCGACTAACTCCGCCTAACATCGCCGCACTTCTGCTCCCATTGTCCCTACTTAGCCTAACTCCGTCTAACTTCGCCGTACTTCTGCTCCCATTGTCCCTACTTAGACTAACTCCGCCTAACATCGCCGCACTTCTGCTCCCATTGTCCCTACTTAGCCTAACTCCGTCTAACTTCGCCGTACTTCTGCTCCCATTGTTCCTACTTAGCCTAACTCCGTCTAACTTCGCCGTACTTGGTGTCAGAAGTCCTGAGTTACGTGTAGAGTAAAGAGGTTAAGGCGTGATGGGGTTTTGATGGCCAAAGGAGGGTCATTGTTGGTGGAGTAATCGAGGTGTCACGACGTAGTTCGTGACAGTCGCCCCCTTCTTTAGCCGCGAACGTCCTCGTGAGCGATTACACCTCTGTCGTGGCAAGAGAACTTAGCAGCGTAGTACCCCCATTCTCTCCCTCCCCATGACCATCCTTCACTCTTCTGCTCTTTGCGCCGCACTTCGTAGTTGGGCCTCCTTTCACTCCAAAACCCGACAATGAGACTCCCCTAACTTCGTCGAGGTTTGCCGTAAGAAGCCCTGTGTCTTTTGTAGGTGAGACACGCTTCCTGAATGGCAGCCGAACAACACCGTTGTTTGTCGAAGTAACCCTCGCTTATATTGAGATGAGACACTATAGCGTGGGAATTTTGATCGTCCCTGCGATGCCTTTTGTTGATGAAACGCGAAGTTTGCTGCATGTTGACAACGAGGGGGTAGGTTTGATTATACTAAATACTGAGCAGTTCGTCGAGCTTCTCTCTTTTTCCCATCTGCTTTCAAAACTTTCTATCTCTCTTACCTAGAAAACAGATTTGTTACCTTGAATCATCGCCTCGAGTTTTATTCTCTTTTAAATATCTTAACGTCATGGCCCCTTCTACTCCTACACCCAGCCCTTTCGCCGCCATGAGGAACTTTGGTGGTATGGTGTCATCTGCTCGTGAGTTTTCATCGATACTCACCCTACCTCGCCGAACTTGGCTGATGTTCAGTTTCTTTCGGCGACAGATCTCGCCAAGTCTCCTCCCTCGGCCTCGGCACTCTCTCTCTGGGGGAGCCGTCCGGCGCTGCCTCGCCCCCTCGCTCCGCCTCTCCCTCCGCTGGTTCTCCCTCCCCTGTGTCTGGTTCTCCCGTCCCCGTAACGGGTTCTCCTGGAGGGCCTCCTCCTGCCGCCACTCCTCGCCGTAGGACGCCCGCCTTTCGTCCTGGTGAGTCTCCGTCCTCCTCCGACCAGGACTCGCTCAGTGGGGGCTCGGAGTCGGGTGATCGACCCGACACCGAAGAAAGTGAGGATGATGATGATGGGGAGGGTAGGATCGATAGTGAGGGTGAAAGCGAGTTAGAAGAATACCCGGATGATGATGTGGAGGTGATTAGTGTAGAGGACAACAACGTAGATAGTCCTGAGCGTGAGTTCTTCGTCCAACCTCTCACACCTTCGCCGAACTTGGCCTTGTTTATCCGTTCTTTAGCTCTCCAAGACATTGCTAACTCGCAGCCGGTCCTGCCCCTCCCCCTGCTCAAATTGTGGGCCAGAAACGACGCCGTTCCCTCTCCTCTTCTTCTTCTTCCTCTTCTTCTTCTTCCTCCTCTTCTTCCTCTTCCGGGGTTCTCCCCCCCCCCAACGCCATCGCCGCTGCCGCCGCTGCTGCCGCCGCCCGCCCTGCCGCCGCCATCGCCCGCTCTGCCGCCCCCGTCGCTGCTCCCCCCCCTTCTCCCAGAGGGGAGCCTTCGCCCAAACGGGTGAAGAGATCACTGCGGGAAGAAGAGTACTTGTGGGAGAAGATGAAGTCCGAGCCTGGTCGTTGGATCGCGGTTGGTGTTGACGAAGCGTGTGATCGTTGCCGGTGAGTCCACCTATTCGTTCTACGCCGAAGTTACTCCTGCTAATTAGTAGACGTGAGATTATCACGTATAATCGTCCAAACTGGCCCTGCCTCAAGGCAGTCAGGCCACACAACAAGGCCCTCCGTTGTGCTTCATGCACGTCTGGCCCCTGCTCCTTCTGTCCCGTTTCCTCTGCCCGGGACATCCCGCCCCGTCCCTTCGACGCTTCTCCTCTCCCCCCTCCCCAGACTCCAGCGTCTGTCCCCCGTTCGCGGGTACCGTCTTCGTCTCTCCGGTCGGTTCGCCGAACTTCGCCGTCCTCCCGCTCGTCACCTCCCTCGCCCTCGCCCTTTGTTCCTGTGGCCGGCCCGTCGCGTCTCCCGGCTGCTCCTCCTTCGTCCTCCCGTCGTCCTTCGACCTCTCGGCCCTCGGCCTCTCGTCCTTCGGCCTCTCGTCCTTCGGCCCCTCGTCCGTCCTCTCCTGTGGTGGCTTCTCCTCCGGCCCACAGCACCCGAAGTCGCCGTCCTTCTGCTCCTCCGGCCACCCCAGCGGCCGCCCCTGTCACCGAGTCCCCCGCTGCCAAGAAGACCCCGAAGTCTTCTTTAAAGAAATCAAAAGGGAAAAGGAAGGAGAAAGAGGTCGTCTTTGAAGCTGGTGATGTGGAAGATGAAGCTACTCAGCGTGCTGGGCCCTCTGTTCCTCGGTTGTCCTTCGTCCACCCTCGTATCTCCCTGGACCCTCGTATCCCGGAGGACGAGAAAGAATTTGCTACGTATCGTTCTCTCGTTCTCGGCCTCACCACTCAGCTTGACGTCGCTCGGCGTGATACATCTCTCTTGCTTGACTTCTCCACTCGTCAAGCCAACGCCTTGAATAACCTTACTGCGGCGTTAGTAGATGTAGTCAACGGTGGAAATCTGAACGAGGAAGCAAGGACGAGGTTAGCGGACGTCTCTCGCCGAAGCCTTACTGAGATAGCCGATGTTCGCCGAAGACTTTACGACACCCCCTTCCTCGTTACTCCTATGGCGTACGAGCCACCACCGTCCATCGGCTGGTTAGGCCCCCGGAGTAGTTCTCGAGTTCCTGCCTCTGCTCAGACTGCTCTCGATCTCCTCAGCCTTCCTTCCGAGTGTCTTAGGACCATACGTTCTCTGTGGAGGACTCCGAGCATGCAAGCTGCTCGGGATGTCCAGGACTTTGGTGATTTCTTTGGGGCTATGAATCGGGCATGGAACGCTTCTCTCTCGACTGTCTTCCCCCCTGACAGTCTCGATCTACCTTCGGCCATCGGTACTCTCCACACCAATCTCGCGGGGCCGAGTAGCGCGAAGGAGAAAGGAAAAGGAAAGGGTAAGGGTAAGGGCAAGTGAGCGGTACGTAGCTGTAATCCTATGTTGTATGCAGTACGTTCTACCTCCTAGCCCTCCGCAGTCGCCCTTCCTTCGGCTTAGTAGGATGAAGTTCGTGGAACTTCGCCAATATGTCATCAGCTCCGTCGACGTTCTCTACTGGTTCCCATGATACCGAATCGTCTGTTCCTTCGTAACCTAACCACTCTACCAAGTACTCTAACTTTCCTGATCTTTTATTTACTCTAGAGTCCACAATGTCCTTTACTTCCCACGATTCTCCTACGTTATCTACTTCTACTGGGCCAGGTGGTTCAGCTTGCTGACCAGGGAATACTGGAGGATGATAGGGACGAAGCAACGAAACATGGAATACATCATGGATACCTGCCATCGTTCCTGGTAATTCCAATTTACAAGCATGAGAACCTACCTGCCGTACTACCTTGTACGGCCCACTTTGCTTCACATCTAACTTCTTCATAGGTCTTTTAGTCTTGATGTTCTCTAACGACAGCATTACTAGGTCACCTTCCACGAAGTTCGGCGTAGTCCGGTGTTTCCTATTGTATCCTTCGGCGTACTTCTCGTTAGCTCTCCCAATTCCCTCAATACATTCTTTATGTATTTCGGTTAGATCTTTTACCACCACTGTAGCAGCAGGTACCTCGACCTCACTGGCCTTAATCTCTTCAGCCCACCGAGGGTGGTACCCGTAGTTCGCATAGAATGGGGTCTTGTTTATCGCTGAATGATGGGTGTTGTTGTAAGCAAAGCTAGCTCGAGCAAGCAGCTTCGACCAGTCGTTCTGCTGGTAGGAAGTGAAGATTCGAAGGTATAATTCGAGGGACTGGTTGGTTCGTTCGGTCTGTCCATCAGTCTGTGGATGATACGCGGTAGAAAGATGTAGTCTTATGCCGAGACTATCGGTCAAGTTCTTCCAAAACTTCGAAGTAAACTTCGATCCTCTGTCCGATACTATACTCTCTGGTAACCCATGCTGAGCCACCACATAGTCCATTATCAGCTCAGATAGTCCAGCTGCGGTTAACTTCGTCGTGGTTGGGATAAAAATGCCCCATTTGGTCAATCGGTCCACCACTACCAGGATGGAATTATATCCATGGGAGTTCGGAAGCTCTTCGATGAAATCCATCGAGATGCTTGACCAGGGTTTAATAGCCACTTGCAATGGTTTAAGCTCTCCATGGGGTTTCTGTCTGTTAGTCTTTGCTCTCTGACATACCGCACAGCCAGCGATATAATCTTCGACATCCTTCCTTACTCCAACCCAAACGTAATCCCTCAGGACAAGCTCGAGGGTCTTCGCTGAGCCTGGGTGACCAGCTAGGGCCGAATCGTGTCGCATCTTCATGATCTTTAGCCGAGCCTCGGCGTAGTTCGGCACATAAGTGCGATCGTCGAACGTGAGGAAACCCCTTGAGTTCCATCCTCCCCGAAGTATTAGAGGGGATCGCGAACTACGGCGTAGTTCGGTGATTGATCCTGGTTCCTGTACGTCATCGTGACACGTTGGATGGGAACACTCAGCGCAAATGACTCCTAATAGCTCTTTTCTAACCTCCTCCACTTCTCCATCTTCCTGTACCCCAACAATCAGATCCATGGGATCAATAAGGTCATTCTCTCTTACTTCCTTTGTCCCTTGCAAAGCACGAAGTAGGTGTTGTAACCCAGAGCTAGTGCCGTCGAGTTCGTCGAACTTCGGCAACCCTTGAATAAGATTGCTCTCCTGCACCATAGTACTTCCTTTTCCAGAGTGGTAGTCTGCTCTTCTCGATAGTCCATCCGGCAGTGTAGCTTGTTTCCCAGGTCGATACACCATTTTAAACCTAAAGTTAGAAAGCTCTTCGACCCACCTGCCCTGCCTCGGGCTTAACTGCTTCGGTTCCATCCAGTATGTCAAGTTCAAATGGTCCGTGAGAACTGTAGTCTCTACCTGTAAAAGTAAGTGCCTCCTTCTTCTAAAAGCCTCAACGATAGCTAGTAGTTCCTTCTCGCCTACCGTATAGTTTAACTGCGCCGCTTGAAACGCTCCTGACTCGATCGCTACCGGATGTTCTTGTCCTAACTCGTTTACCTGCGATATTATGAAGCCCCACCCGAAGAACGAGGCATCTGTCTGTAGTAATGTCTTCGACGAAGGATCAAAGTGAGCCAATACCGGGGCCCTACACATTCTATCCTTCAACTCTTTAAAAGCTCTTTCCTGCTCCATACCCCAGACAAACGGTACATCCTTTCTTGTGAGATCATTGATCGGTTTAGCAATCCTGGAGAAGTTGGGGACGAAGCGCCGATAATAACTAACGACTCCCATAAATCCTCTGCTCTCTCTTAGGTTCTTGGGACGGGGAAAAGACACAACAGCGTCGATGTACTCTGGATTACTAGAAACTCCCTCCCGTGAGACCACAAAACCCAAGAAGACTACCGAATCCTTTTCAAACTCGCACTTACTAGCCTTGACGAACAGATTCGACCTTCGAAGAACTTCGAACACTTTCGCCGTAGTTCCTCTCAATTCTTCCAACGTCTGACCATAGATGAGTATATCATCTATGTAGACAACCACTCCCTTCCCCAACAGTTCTCTGAAGCTTTCATTCAGAAAATGCTGGAATACAGCAGGAGCATTTCGCAGACCATCTCGAACAACAAGAGACTCGAACATACCGTACTGAGTCCTGAACGCCGTCAGGTGCTCGTGTCCTTCCTTTACCCGTAGGAGTTGATAAGCTCCAATCAGATCTAACTTGCTGAAGTACCTCGCTTTTCCTAGCTCTTCGGTTATCTGACCGATCAGAGGCAGTGGATAGGCATCGGGTATCGTTGCCTCGTTTAACTTTCGGTAGTCAATGACCATTCGCCATTGACCCTTTGCTTTCTTCGGTACCAAGAACATCGGTGATCCGTAGGGCGAATTACTGGGTCGGATTCTTCCGGCCGATATTTCGCGATCTAGGATGTCTCTCAGCGCACTTCTCTGATCTTCTCCGAGTGAGTAGAGTGGAGCAACCTTCAGGTTCGCCCCCTCCTTAAGCTCAAATTCCAGATCATACTCCCTTGAGGGAGGTAGTTCTTCACCTCCCTTCCTCGGGTTAAACACATCAATGAACGGATGATATTGTTCAGGAACCACCTGATACAATTCCTCCTGTTCCTCCGGACTCAGTTCATCCTGGTCATCTTTGTCTCGGAGATCTATCGCGTCCGTCGGAGTCGGCAGCCCTATGGCCGCTAACTTCGCCGCACTCGGTGGGGTTGGGATGGGGAACTTCATCGAGTTGTCTCTTCCATCTAGAACAACCCCTTCCTTCCTCATCCAATCCCACCCTATCACAACATCTGCATCGCAGAGTGTTGTTACATCTAGACGAACAGATCGCACTTCGGCGCCCTTCGTCAAACTAAAACCAACTTCGACAAACTCGGTGATAGGTCCAGCGACACTAACCGAGCCATCAAACATGTGAACGGGTACGCTCACCTGATATCGTCTCCTTCCTACACCTATCTTCGCCGCTGCTCTAGGGCTTATATACGAACATGTAGCCCCAGTGTCCCAGAGCGTAGTTAGCCTAATTCCATTAATAAAGATGTCCGATTTAGGTTGATCCCTAGAAGTGGAAGAGATGAGTAGATGATTATCGACATTGCATGAACAGGGGGTACTGAGTGGTGTATTTTTGTAAGCACAATCCTCTGACTCCATCAGCTGTGTCTCTTTTATAGGTTTGGGAATGGTGGCCGAGAGAATATGGCGGACCCGCCGAGCCTCGCCTACTGCGACAGGTCCTCCTCTTTTCCCTGGTCCTCTTCCATCTCCCCATCTCCCCCAACTGCGTTCAAGTTCCTCCTCTGTCCTAGAGGTACTGCGTTCCCCCCCGATCCTCCACCACGTTCGCCGAACTTCTCCCCCCACGGCGGCAACCATCCGACCTTGACCTTCGCTGCCCTCACCGGGCAGTCCCTCAACCAATGTCCCTTCTCCCCACACTCAATACACTTCCCTTCCTTCCTCCTTGCCTCCCGCAGATCGGGAGGTGGCCTAGGCCATTGTCGGCGAAGTTCGTCGGCATTGGGCGGAATGTTCTTGACCTGCGTCGACGTAATAGTCCCTTGTACCGCAGACTGCACCGAAGTTTGCCTCCCTTCCCCTCTTTTCTCCTCTTTTCTCTCCATCCTCTGGCCATCCACAACTAACACTTCTTTTACCCCCGTCTCCTTCTTCTTCTCCGAATCCTTCTCCACTTTCCTTCTCCACAACCTGTTGTCCATGGGAATAACAAACTCCAATAACTCCTTGACCGTCCCAAAAGATTTACCATGTCTAGCAATTTCATCTAGGAGGTGTGGTTTCAACCCTTTCTTGGCTCGGTCAACCAGGTTTCCGTCATCAGACCACTTGAGTATCGCCACATGTCGTTGAAAGGCGGAGAAGTACTCCGAAGCTGACCCAGTCTGCCTTAGATCGTTAAGCAATCGAGCTGCGGTTCCTTCTTCATCCGGGTCACCAAAGTTCGTCTTGAGATATTTAACGAATTGGTCATACTCCACAAGGTAGTCAGGAAGAGGTCGTTTAGCAAGATCGGGTTGGACGGCGAGAAGGGGTGTTTCGCGTAAATGAGAGATCATGAAGAAGACTTTCTTAGTGTCGTTGGGGAAAAGATGAGAGTTCAGTTCGTAATGGATTTCACATTCCGACAGAAATGCGGTCAACTTGTTCCTCTCTCCTCTCCAGAAGTCCGGATTAGGCAGTTTTATTCCCTTCCGTGATTCGCCAACTACGCTTGGGGTCGCCGAAGTTTGCCGTCCCATGGCGTACCTCACCCCTTCTGATATCCCTTCTGCAATACCGCCCACCGTCTCCCTTTCTCTTCTCTGCTCCCACTCCTCCCTACGCCTTCTCTCTTCCATCATGTCTTTGTTCATATTCGCCACCATCTGCATCAAGGCCAATATCACCCCTTGTGTACCTTCTTCTCTCAAGTCCGCCGTACTTCCAGTGTTTTCTGGCCGCGGGGTCTGATCCGATCCAACTGGGGATCCTATAGGTGGGAGGGCATTACCCGAAGGTGTAGGAGGATTAGAAGGTAATGGTGGAGCGAACTCATCTCCTTGAATTGATCCCCCCACACTATCCTCCACTCCAAGCTGCTGCCCCATCGCTCTGCTAAGCTCCTCCAGTGCCCTCCTCTCGTTCTCCTCCATCCTGTCTCCGTCCCTACTCATACCTCGCGTAACTCTCCTATCTGGTTCCATAGAATCTTCGTACTTCTCCGAGGTTCGCACGGGTCGTCGGTAAGAGCGATCCTTGATACTGTCACGGGCGTCGAACAACTATCTTCTGGCAGACCGACGGTCGACGAACCTCGGCTAACTTGATGCTCCTGAGTCGAAGTCTCACCCAACCGAGAGGGCGCAGACGTCGAAAGGAGTGTAACTACGGCGTACTTCGGCGTAGTTACTCTAACTGGGGTTTTGTTTTACTGATGGCGATGTATCTCGAATTGTATATAGCTATCTCTATCTGTTTTTCACTACTGACAACAATCAAGGATCGCTGAAGAACTTCAGCGATCTTCTCAGCTAATATTATCTACTCCTCCTAGACGTTCATCCAACCCTCTCGCGCTTTGACGTACTTCAACGCACTTCGTCCAACTTCCCCGAGCCCTCGGCCATCCTCTTCCTCCTTCGACTAACTCCGCCTAACATCGCCGCACTTCTGCTCCCATTGTCCCTACTTAGCCTAACTCTGTCTAACTTCGCCGTACTTCTGCTCCCATTGTCCCTACTTAGACTAACTCCGCCTAACATCGCCGCACTTCTGCTCCCATTGTCCCTACTTAGCCTAACTCCGTCTAACTTCGCCGTACTTCTGCTCCCATTGTTCCTACTTAGCCTAACTCCGTCTAACTTCGCCGTACTTGGTGTCAGAAGTCCTGAGTTACGTGTAGAGTAAAGAGGTTAAGGCGTGATGGGGTTTTGATGGCCAAAGGAGGGTCATTGTTGGTGGAGTAATCGAGGTGTCACGACGTAGTTCGTGACAACATGATTATAGAGATCATCTTGAGATATATACAGTTCTTTGATGAAGGTGAAGTAGCAGGAAAAAGAGTCGAGAAGAAAAAAATGAAGAAGACAATTGATCAAGAATGATGAGGGTCTGTCGAGGAAGAGTCAGAGAAGAAGGATTTTAAGACCTTGAAGTAGAGTAGTATAATAGAAAGACATACGATTTGATTTTCCCTCCGAGACTATCTATGGTACTTTCAACTTTCAAATCATCCTTCGCTTTTTGGACTTCTTTCTCTCCTTCTTGTATTAACCGATCTCCTGATTCTTTCCATTGTTCAGAATAAGTTTGAGGTAAGACGGAACTTGTCACCTGTTTCGTCAATTATTAATTCATCTGGTAATTGCTAAGCTTTTCCTAATCTGTATCATCTTATCATCTCTTTATTTCATTCGCTAAGATGTCGGATGTCATAGTTTTCATTTATTGGGGTGATCATGGTAGAGACAAGAAAGATGAGGAAGGAATATATCCCTTCAATGACTGAACAATTTTCTTTTTTCACTTCACTAGAAAGTCGAACAGGATTGACTTCTTCGTCGACTAGAAGTGGGGTGAGGAGGGACAAAGGAAAGTGGAATATGGTATATGGTATAGTGATAGGGTAGATAGATTCAGATGAGCATGGACTAACGTTATATATCTGTCCTTGAACAATCTTCATTTGACCTGATAATTGAGAAGGCTGTTGAGGATGTTGATCGTCTTCAGTCCACATGGTTCTTTTTTGTAATTCGATAAGCCAAGATGAGTTTGAAGAGAGATGAGGAAACGATGTTGAACAATGTCGGAGATCGGAGAACTGTGACGTCACGTCCTAACTTCAACGTCTCATCCTTTCATACCACTTGATCACATGCACACTTGAAGGCCGTACATTCCATGCCCCATGGCCAGAATACAGTTTTCGTACTCTACCATGCTGCATGCTGCAGTACCCGCTGAGTAACACTTAAAAGAACTTCTATGGACTCTTTTGACATTGACAACGTGTGGACGTATGGAAGAGGTTATGAACCATGAGATTCCCATATGTCAATTCGCAGTCATCAGAGTATGTATGTACTTTCGAAACAGAATCGCGAGTCTGCACGCGGGTGTAGTCTTCCATGCTCGGAGTTCGATCAAGCCACACTTATACATACCTTCACTCCTTCCCGTCTTGCCGTCTCTGTACTTGTATGGGTTAAAAGCCAAGCCGTCGCGCGCTCCGCGTCTAGGAACAAAAGGTTCAGAAGAGCCAGAAAAGGAACGCCACTTTGTCCGTACTCCCGGTTCCCAAGAAGCCAGGAATGAGGAAGGGGGGAAACAGACCCTGAGCCCCTGAACATGTGTGAGACACCCCCCCTTCACTCAAAGTTCTCCAAGTGGGTGACTGCATGCTGCGCGCTGCGGGTTCACTTGCCACTTGGTACACCGACGGCCGCCGACGGAACTGACGGACCGACGGTCATATCCGAAGGACAAGGCTACGGGACAGTGGGTTTTGGACGATCATTCCTTGGCCCTTGAATCCTGGGGTTTAGGGAACGGTGACTAGGTAGCGCGTAGATCTGTGGATCTGTTGGATCTTCTTCAACTTCACATTTGTACAAACACACGTCTACCTTTCTTTCGATCGAGCAGTACCAAATTACGATTTTACTGGCTACTGGAGTAGATCGAGAACCAAGAAGGAGTATTGAGGTACAAATCGAATTGTCACTCTTCAAGGCTAAACCACGGGCACGGGATCACCGATCACCGACCAAGAATCACTGGGAGTCTAGACCATAACGCTTGGACGGGAACACGACGCAGCCCCCCACACACAACGCTTGGACATTTGAGACGACGACAATCATTTTGGGAAATTACTCAGTAGACTCGGGTCGAGCTAGAAAGAAGGAGTCGAAACGTTTTAGGAGCTTTTAGGACATTCCTTGTATATCGTGAGTTTCATCTTTCATCTTTCGTCTTGTTCATTCAAACTCGATACACTTCTTTAATCCCCATAAATCCACAACGTCGTCCTACGGTAGCTCCTGGGTGATTCACACCGAGACCTCCTTTAGTCCTTTGGTCCGCTGTTCGCCCTGATCCGTCAAAGGGTCCAATGTGAATTTGCGAAATCTGTGAGATCTTGATTCATGCCGCCCCCCCTAATTGATGGTTGATGGAAATCCGATCGACGGCATCATGTCTTCCTTGTTCCTAGCTACTCTACCAAACTGGTTTTCTTGGTCGTTTGGTAGGAATAAAGGAAAAAGAAAAATGACATCACGCCACAAGGCACATAGAAGCAGAAAGGAGGAGATAAATGGCCCAGATGTTCCATGTCTGGTCAATCAAAGTGATTTTTGGACTTGCTGTCAAGGGAAGGGGAAGGGGGGCGTGACTAGCTCAAATGACCGCCGGCCAATGTGTCCAATTGATCACCGAACCTTCCCTCTTTCTCGCTCGTGGCTCGTTTATCACGGGGTGGTTGAAGGAAAGAAAAGGAAGGTGATTCTATCTTATTTCTTGGACATTGGACAGGATCTCGCTATCGCTGCAGAAGGAAGATAGAGAAAGCGGAGACGTGAATGTGGAATAGATGTGGGAAGTGTGGCTTGATGATGATGTGCGCGTGGGGGGAAGATCTTCGTCGACGATCATACCTTTGCTTTTTGATCAAAATTGATCGGTTGCACTCGTTGTCTCCAAAGTAAATGAGAAAAGTACCTTTAAGCTGACATTTGTTTCTCCTCCCCTCCCCTCCCCCTTCCTTCTAATAACCAAACACGACAATCACCTCCTTCCTCTTAAACGCCTTTGAACTTGTTCAACTCGTCGTCTCTCTCCTTCCATTCCCCTTCGCTCTTTCGCCCCCGCTCTCTTCTTTTATCCCATGTCTCAACTTACATATCCCCCTTCTTCGGCGTCGTATACCTTCCTTGCACTCCGTCACATATCTCATCTTTCCTTCTTGCCCCCCCCGTCTCCCTCTTCATCTTGTGATCCTGTGAATTGATGGTCCGTTGGCCCGTTGGTCTATGATCCATGATCCATGATCGGTGACTGCGGTTTCACCCCTTCAACCTCTATTGCCCGATCTCAACGGCAACGACCTACCAACGACCAAACACTCGAACAACTCAACAATCCTTTTGAACCCGACTACCAACTGTTTCCTGCCTCACGACTCACTCGTGTTCTCCCCCGCTCCCCTGGCCGACCTAATTTCCTGTAATCCGTCCCTTTTCATTCCTCCTCACTCTGTACGCCGTACGCCGAACCGCCGTTTGATCGACCACGTCGTTACCTACCCCTGCTCGCATCACGGCAACCGCACCGCTTGAACGACGTTTCCTTCGTTACTCATCCTCCTTTCCCATTCTTTCTTGGTCGTCTCGTTTAAACTTCCAATACGACAAACCTCCTGCCACTCTTTCCCTCTCTACGACTCTTCTACGCACGACACTGGTATCATTGGATCGTCACCCTTCCTTCACATCATCGTCCTACTAACCTTTCCACATTTCCATCTAACATTTCGCTTCTGTCACAAACTGAACTTTGACGAAAATCACATCTATCATTTACTGTGTGTGTATGGTCGAACTTGATCTTACATCGTCCTCATGTCTTCCATCATTGCCACCGCCTATTTCCCTCCACTGTCACGCGATCTGGCCCCGGACGAATTGGACGATCATGACACCACTCCGCCTTCACAGACGCCTACCACGCCCCCAGCACCGCTTCGTCCATCCCTCTCCCCCGTCACTCCCAAGATGAAGATCGAGCCGGACGTTCCAAACGCCTCCCCTTCACCGTTCAGCAACGTCCCCATGGTCTCTTCCAGTACATCTCACAGGCCACATCCACCGCCACTCTTTCATTCACATTCCGACTCTCACGGTTCTTTCTCGCTCATGGCTCGAGGGAAGATGCTCCCTCGACGACCCTCACGTCTGGATCCCATGGGTAGAGAGGATGAGGCGGATGAGATGGGTTATGGTGAGCTAGGTAAAGCCCATCCTTTACGGCGGGTTAAAGAAGAGGAGCAGGCAAAGGGAGGTGGTCAAGGTAGATCCGAGGCTGTCACTTTACCAGGTATCAGAGCTTTGTTCGGTTCAACAAGTGAGTTAAATTTTCACTTCTCAGTCTCTCTGCGACAGTTCTACATGTCTACATCTATGATGGAACAATCGATCAGGAAGATATTGATATGACAGACGATCGGCCACCTACACCTTCTACGACTCATTCTCTCTATCAATCCCCATCTTTACCTTCTCTCATCTCACCCTCTTCCTCACCTTCCACAGCCCGTACCTCTCGTTACTCTTCCCTCGCCACAGCATCCACAAGCGGCTCCATGTCTCTAGACGTTGGTCCGCCTGGTTGGTGGGCTCCAGATTTCGATCGCCACTCTCCCCTCCCTCCCCCCAACGTACGTTCCAATTCCTACCCTCTGGCGCCCTACCTCGAGGAGCCCGAGACAAAACGACGACGATCTGATCTGCCTCCTTCCTTGCACGATCCCGACGAGATCGCTCGGTTGCGTTATCAAGCTCAAGCTCGCAATGCTTCTTTACCAGTCTTGCGTGATACACCCGGAGCACCTGGACCATCCTCTCATCGTCAGAAACTACATCCTCCACCTGCTCCCTCCGCTCATCTACCAACAACCAAGTCGGGCAACTCCCTGTCAGGGTTTTCCGGTGGTAAGACCAGTTCAGCGCCCATTTCACCTAGACAGGGTAAACGCCCTTCTGCCGTCTCTCGCAACCCTTCAATTGTCAGTGGTCAACTAGCAAACTCATTCGCTGGTCTTAAAACGGGTGATATGGGACCTCCGTTCTCTCGTTCCACTACACCCGACCGTCGCTCTTCTTCCCAATCTTATCATCTTGATAATTCACGTCCTCCCCGATCAAGTCTTAGAGAAAGTTTTGCATCTTCACATTCATCCTTATTCCAATCTACGCATCGTGCATCTATGGAAATAGATGCAAAACCTAAAATCATCGATCGACATTCTTTCACTCAACCACCATCACCCGAGACTAAACGTCTTGCACCTCGACGAACTTCATTGACTGAAATTGTCCGTCCTCAAGTCATAGATGAAATACCTCCTCGATCAGCTCAAGTGGAAGAAAGACGTCAAGGGGTAGGTAGTGTAAAGCTGGAAAAATCACTATCTGATGAATCCTTGCGGATCTGGCACCCACGTCGTACTTCCAACTCGTCATCTTCCACACATTCCACAGGAGATGTCGAGGGACCACTACCTTCGTTGAGAGGTCGGAAGAGAAACGCGGATATGAGAGACGAAGAGGATATAGATCCTGGGATGAGAGGGATGGAAATGTTGGCGGAGAGTGCGAGACGGGTGGCGGAGGAAGAACAGAGACGGAAAGACCGTCGAGAGTCTGAAGACTTGCGAGGGGACCGAGCAGGGAGACAAGGTGACGTGGGGGATAGGGAAGGGAGGGAAGGAAGTCCCAGTAAATTGGCAGGAGGAATGTTGGCAGGACCGAAATATCCTTGTCAATGGTGTGCAAAGACGTTTTCCAGACCGAGTAGTTTGAGGATACATACGTATTCCCGTGAGTCTTTGACTCTTCCGTCGCAATCTTTGTCCTGCGGTCTTCAGCTTTCCTTACCCTTACCCATTTGACAACCATCTCCATTTTACCCACATTGAGGCTTATTTCCTTTCTTTCATTACAACCTCTGTCCAGTGGTCTCCAGCTTTCCTCATCCTTGCCCATGTGGCCAGCATTCCATGTTACCCACATTGAGTCTTATTTTCTTCATTCAAAAATTTGTTATAGTAAGGGGCGACATAGCATTGGAGAATGTTACTCATATCAGATACCGGTGAACGTCCTTTTGTATGCTCTGAACCTTCTTGCGGTCGAAGTTTTTCCGTTCAATCAAATTTGAAACGTCATGCAAAAGTCCATCAATTAGGTTCTAACCCAATACAACTCGATCGACCAATACAATCCATGAATCCACATTCTCATCCTTTGGTTGGGTTTTACGCTCAAAGACCTTTGATGGGTTTTGGGGATCGTAGATCTTCGGATGATAGAGTTGAACGAGTGAAGGAAGTCGGTTTGGAAAGAAGGAAAGGGATAAAAGTACATCCTCCTCCAAATGAAGGATGGAGTGGGGAAGAGGATGAATTGGATGAAGATGAGTAAGGGGGATTCCGTGTTAGGTGTTGGTGATGATCTTTTGATTGGGAGGTTTAGGAAGGTAGCTCAAGAGATTGAACCCTGAAATGAAGGAGTGGAGGAGGGGAAACGCAGTGGACATTTGAAATGACAAGGATGAGTGTTGAGATAGAAGTCGTGGGGTATTCAAATCCATCTCCATTAAATCAAATCATACATAATCTAGATGAATTCTTGAAGAAATCTTGTCAGAGATGCACCAATAAAACCTGATAGCGTGAACGAATTCATCCAGACCATTCACAGTATTCTACTTGACATGAAGCCAGTCGACCATGCCACTCCCATTCTCACCCAGAAACTCAAACTAAACCGATATACCATAATCGATGCATGAACATGATGTAACATGTACGTCATTTGAGTGGAGACAAAAAGGTGATACGTATAAATTCACTACTTGTATAATCCAACTCATCATACTTTCCATCCGTCATTCTTTCTTCCCAAACCCATGGAAATTCCTCAAACACAAACTATGGTATATTACAAGTAGTCATACATACCTACATATGACCAAACCTGGTAGGTTGATTTTCAACTTTCTTTCATCATTGTGAAACGTTCTTGGAGTGATATGACTTCTTGTACTATATCTACCCCATCAGGATCTTCATGAATCACTTTTTGGAATTGAAGTTGTTTGAAATTCCCGAGATTTTCATCATCTTCTTGTCTTGCGTCAATGTTGTTTGACAAGTTATGTATCTTATTCGAACCGACGACACCATCCATAGAGGATCTCCCCATTCCATTCACCATAAAAGTATCCACATCCACCGTTCCTCTCATTCTCCCTTTCCCTTCCCCATCACCATCTTCCCCTTCAAACTCTGACCCAGAATCATCTTCATCTTCATCCAACCCTTCAACACCTTCAGGTGGTATTGGTAATACTCCCATTTTATAAGCTCTTATAACTTGTAATCTATCAATCAACTCTTCATTCCTCTTTTCAACCCTTCCCATCCTATCTTCCAATTCTTCACATTTCTTCCTACTCTCTTGTAATTCTTTCACCACTCTAGGATAATCAACAGCTCTTCTCCTTATGACATCATCTGTCAAACGTGATTGATCTAAAAGGATTTTTATTTGTCCTTTTAATTGTTGATTTTCACGTTCTACACGTAGTCGTATAGATTGAGAAAAAATATCACGTTGTTTTAATCCGATTGTTAATTGTTCTCGGAGTTTGGAAATTTGATTTTCTAATTCGGTTATTTGAGAAACGGAAGAAACGGCCGTGGTTGAGGCTTGTTGATAGGCTGTTTGAAGGTAAGACATTTGAGATTCGAGAGAGGAAATGAATCGGACATTGGATTTGATGGTTGTTTCGAGGGAGGAAATACGTTCGAGGAGGTCCTTGTGAGCAGAAGAGGTTTCAGTGGTAGTATCATGTGGCGGGGTGTCAGAGGGGGTTTCATCATGAGAAATTTCGGGTGCTGAAGGTGAAGAATGTGAGGGAACCGATGTTGAAGAAGGAAGGACCGTCGCGTTATTTGTTGAAGATGATGATGTAGGACTTGAATCGATTGGCGGATCGTCAGAAGCCTTCGAAGTCGGGGCAAGTGGTTTTGCCAGATGAGCCGTGACATGTTTCATGACCAGAGACATGGAATGAAGCAGAGTATCGCAACCATCAAAAGGACACGAAAACGCTAGACTATCAGATGAAGAAGTCACTTTGATGATCAACTTACGAGTCTCTGGAGTCTGTTCGGAAACAGGTGGGGCTGGCGAGATAGGATCAGTCTGGACGTCTTTTTCGACTTGGGTGTCCGTCGTAATCTGCAATGTCAGAGATTGGATTGATGAAGAGTTGCTGGAGCTAAAAGAGAGAAGAACAAGGGACCAAAGTTGAAAAACTTACCTGCACTTCCTCTTGTGTCACATCTTCCCTCAGAACATCTAAATCATCCTCTCCATCCAAATACGCATCCATCTCCCGCGCCAATTGTCTGGCCAGATTCATATGCAATGTTTGTTGCATTTCCCCGTCAACGTCGTTCATATTCGCCGCACTTTCTTTTCCCCTCAGGTGGACCTCGCTCTCATGACTTTCTTGTACAATGACTTCACTCTCCAGACCTTCCACAGCCACCATTACCCTCTCTCCATCCACCTCTTGCCAATTGAAACCCGGCGGTAGAGTCTCCGCTTCTACATCCCTTCCATTGAGATCTCCGCTCGTATCATTCGGTTGTTCGGTTGTCATGAGACCATTCTCACCGCCTGACGGAGGACTGGAAAAGAGATCTATGGGATCGAAAGATACGTGAGGTTGAGAAGTGAGATTGCTGGATTGAGTCACGATGATAGAGTGACGTGTGGAAGATGGCTCGTTACTTGAATCAACGTGCTCGTCACCTGAATGTCGATCCGTGACATCAACAGTCGTCCCGTTTGTCTTCTTCTCGGATCTTTCAGGAGATTTTGAGCTCAAAGCCTGTCCTGATTGCTTGACCGGTTGTTCCTTACCATGAGTTTCCCCAATTCACTTCCAGATGATATTGACTTACAGCCAGAGGACTATCAGTAGATCTTATAATCTCTTTCTTCCGTCTCGAGTCTAACATTACATTCGTAGCTGGGCTCTGAGACACAGAAGCGGTACTCCTGAGACTTCCTGCAATGTTAGGTATCAGTATGGAGAGCCAAACAGATACTTACTCTTCGGCGGAGTTCCAGCTCTTTGCTTCTTAGCAGATTCAGCCATATCACTCTCCCTTCTCCGTTTCCTATCTTCTCCCTCTTTAACCTTCTTCTTCCCTCTATCAGCCGGGCTCTCCAAACCCAACCGGGCTTTTTTGGCTTGCCAAGTTTGTATAAGCTCTGCGGAACAATCTGTCGATTTGACCCAGCTTGGATCCCATTCGTTCCCTTGATCATCTAAACCATCCCATTTGACCCGATACTCGGTCCGAGATCCACGTTGACGTTCCTCCAATATCTCAAGGACATCCCATTCCGTCTCTTGAGATTCATTCTGCGTCTGGGAAGCTTTGGTGGATTGTGTCGTGTTGTTCTGGCTAGACGATCCTGCTTTGGGGGTAGCCATAGTGATTGAGAGTATCCCTCTTACCGGGAGAATTGCTAATGATGTACACTGCTGCTGGGTAGAGATTGAGTGTGGTTGAGAAGCACAGAGTAGAAGTACAGTCGATGTGAGAGTGCAAAGTGGGGGAGATATGACGTGGAGTTTGTTATCAATTCATGTGGCGGGCGGCCCGAGCGTCAATGTTAACCGACTCGTGCATGACATTCCTTCCAACAACATTTCCCCACATTTTATATACCTTACTACCTTCCTCCTACAAAGACACATTCAGCTTCTACCGCTGATACGTATAGCGATAGACTCGAAGAGAAGATGCCACCCAAGTTCGATCCCACAGCTCCAGAGGTACAAGCTCTCCTATCGCTCTTCACCAACCTCGGTCTCAACCAAAACTCCGCCACCGAGCTGGTCCGTCAGCCTAAAGCTGGTCAAGCTCTGAAAGGTCTCATCGAGGAGTTTCATCTCCAGGGCCAGACGTTCGATGAGAGGCAAGCGGCAGCACTGGTCAAGCTCAGTGCGGTAGGAGGTAAGCTGGGCCCGGCAGAGAAAGGGTACGTCCTTCAGAGAATAACAGGTGGTGAACTTCGATCACCAGATCAAGTTACTGGTGAGCTCCTTTCAGTGTTCCACTAGGTATCCAAGCTTATATCGCAGCTGCGGTCAAGTTTTTAGAAGGCAACCCGGAAGGTACACCAGTCAATGAAGAAGAATTTGACAAAGCGTGTGGCGTGGGTAAGTTTAACAACCTGAGGAGCCCAAAGGAGGCACTGATTTGGTAGGGGTCGACATAAATGTTGAACATCTACCTACTTTGTTGAAAGATTACATTTCAACTCTCTCCACACCACCGAAAGATTGGACGGGTATAGGACCACTCCTTGGAGGAATCAAAAACTCGACTTCAGATCTGAGGTAAGTTCATCAATGTCGCATGACAGGAATGTTGCGTTGAATCTCAGATGGGCAAACGTAGCAGACGTCAAATCATCTCTCGAGATCGTATTCACAGAGCTGTTTGGATCCAGAGAGGAGGCCAACAAAGCCCGAGCTGAGGCACAAGCTGCAGCTTCAAGGCCGAAGAAAGAGGTCAAAACCGCGATTCCCATACCTTCCGCAGAGGCCTCCAGCTCTACTATCCCAGCTATCCCCACCAACATCTTCAGAGAAGGATTCCTGAGTGAATTTCACAAAGTCGGAGGGAATCCTCAAATCGATCCAAGGCTGAAAGAGGAGCATCTGGAATGGACGAAAGGTATGGTGTACACTCGCTTCCCACCTGAACCAAATGGATTTCTGCATATAGGTACGTGACGTCTTCACACAGACAGACGGCAACAATGTCTGATACTCAGGTCACGTAAAAGCTATCATGGTGGATTTCGGATATGCAAAGTATCACGGTGGTCGATGTTATCTTCGGTGAGCGGGATCAGCTGCCTAGCTAATGTCTGTCCAGAGCTGACCGGAAGATATGACGACACAAATCCTGAAGCGGAAGAAGGTAGATTTTTCCAGTCCATCCTAGAGTCGGTCAGATGGCTGGGTTTTGAACCTTGGAAGATCACATATTCTTCGGATAATTTTGATCGGTTGTATGAACTCGCGATTGAGCTCATAAGGAGAGGGAAGGCATATGTTTGTACTTGCGATGGTGAGCGAGCATCAACGTGTGCATAGAAGAATGTTCGCTGACAGCCAGCCGAGAAGATCAAAGAGGATAGAGGAGGGGGACACGGTAATCCCGTGGCATGTGAACATCGCGAACGTCCCATTGCCGAATCCTTGGTAGAATTCGAACGGATGAAGAATGGCGAGTATCCAGAGAAGGGGGCTTGTCTGCGGATGAAAATGGATTTGAGCAGTGGTAACCCGTATATGTGGGATTCGGTCGCTTACAGGGTGAAGTATGCTCCGCATCACAGGACCGGGGATAAGTGGAGTGAGTGAAAGCCTTTTCTGATTGTTCTGGGACCCGGAGGAGTCTTTACCCCGACCTTTCTCCCGACCGTCTGTGACTAAAATTCGGACCACTGACCAGTTAGAAATTTATCCCACGTACGATTTCACTCATTGTCTCTGCGATTCGTTCGAGAATATCACGTGCGTGTCAATTCTGCATTGCTCCTCCCCTTTGAACTTCAATCCTGCGTTCTCTTTCCCATGGCATGGCTCATGCACACTGAGGCGATAGCTAGTCCATCTTGCACCGGCACCACCTCTCCTGTTCCCAATAGTCAAAAGCTGACATTCAGCCACTCCCTATGCACAGTCGAGTTCATTCCCGCCCGTGAATCCTACGAATGGCTCTGCGATGCTCTAACAGTTTACAAACCCAGGCAATACGAATTCGCTCGTCTCAATCTTCAAGGTACTTTCTTATCCAAACGCAAAATCGCCCGCCTCGTCACATGCGGTCTCGTACAAGGATGGGATGATCCTCGTCTTTACACACTCATAGCTCTTCGTCGTCGTGGAATACCTCCAGGAGCTTTATTATCCTTTGTATCCGAACTAGGAGTCACCAACATTCCCTCTACTACCGAGATCAAAAAGTTTGAATATGTCATTCGATCATACCTTGAAGATTCAGCTCCAAGATTAATGATGATCCTCAACCCTATAAAATTAATCATTGAAAATGTTCCATCCGATTACGACGTTCCCGTTCAAGTTCCTCTTCATCCTAAAATCCCATCGATGGGTAGTGTTGAAACTAGGTTCACAAAAGAAGTTTATATCGAAGCTGAAGATTTCCGTGTTGAAGATTCACCTGATTATTTCAGACTAGCTCCTGGAAAAGCCGTAGGATTATTCAAAGCTCCTTATCCTGTGATATGTACTTCGTACTCGACAAATGATATCGGTCAAGTGACGGAGATAAGATGTAATCTTCAATCAGAAGGAAAAATCCAAAAACCAAAAGCTTTCATTCAATGGGTCAACGCAAAAGATGCTGTGAAGATTGACGAAGTTCGTTATTTCCTTCCTTTATTCAAATCTGATCCTCCTCCAGCGGATTTCGAAGGTGATGTTAATCCGGATTCAATCAAGATTTACAAAGAAGCAATTATAGAACCTGCTTTCTATCAATTGGCAAAGAAAGCAATGTCGGATGCGAAGAAAGAAAGTGAAGAAAGGACTTTGAAAGCTTTGAAAGATTCGGCTGTATCTGAGATTCAAGCAGGAGATGGGGAGGAAGGTCCGAAGTTCACAGCGGAGAGTTTGGTAGGTATGGAGAATGTGAGATTTCAAGGTATGCGGATTGCGTATTTCGCTTTGGATAAAGATAGCAAGGTTGGATGTTTGGAAGGGGATGAAAAGGAAGGGAAGGAAGGAGATAAAATTATCTTGAATAGGATAGTGAGTTTGAAAGAGGATGCTGGGAAAAGTTCCTAGTCCTTATGGTGGGTGACTGCAGTTGAGTGAAGAAAAGGTTTTTGTGCATAGCATACATAGTACGAGTATTCCAATAGAAATGCATTATTGTCAATCATATAGTCCATCTTCAGATGATGTTCCTGGAGAAAAGGCATGTAGGGCAGTACTCAAGGGATATATATATGATCGCATGCAACTAATGACAGACACTGCGATGGAATATCTTTTAATACACTGTCTGTCCACTTCTAATCTTTGTTGTTTTCGCCTAGATGAAGTATTTAACATCTTCCCTTATCTGCTCATGCACGACTTCTCTCCTCTTTCCCCCAATCGTTGTTTCTTCACTTTAACCCGGTCCTTCACTCACATTCTTGATCCCTCTAACGAAATTCCAGAAGGAATGACTCAATAATCCCACTTGCTCCACACTGGTTCCATAGGAAGAATGGGAAGAGTACAAACTATGAAACAACCTCTTGGTCCACTTCCATCCCTCCATCGTACCCACTCACAACTTTTTGAACTGGGGGAGGTAATGGTGCACTGAACATTTCCGTTGATAGATTTTGATCTGATTGAGTGATTTGTTCGTTTTGAATAGGAGTGTCAAATGGAGTTGATTGGATGATTGAATCCCAAGGGTTTTGAAATCTGTAGGTTAGATATGATCATGGATCGTATCACTTCCTTTTCTACTTGCATTCTTGTAGATATCGTCACCATGATTGGGGTCCATAGTCACATTTGGATGTTGTCGCCTTGGATCCTGACGTCTTTGTAGGTGTTGAACACCGTCATGGGTTGTGACGTTTATGTAGATTGTGTCACCATCATGGGATCCGACATTTATGTAGATTGTGTCACCGTCATGGGATCCGACATTCACGTAGATGTGGCACAGCGTGTGAGGAGAATTGTAAGGGGTGAACCAACGAGGCAAGGGAGATAAGAACAGGAAGACAGACAAGGACCAGCATGAAGACATGGTGAAGAAGAGAGACAAGGGCAGGAAGAGCGACTATGACAAGAGGAAAGAAAGACGTGTGGTAGGATGACGTGAAGAGAATTAGGTAGAGAAGTCGATTACCAAAAGAATGACTCACCGAGTCACTTTGGGTTTTTCAATCAAAACATTCCTATACAATTTTTCCCATTGAACATTAGGAGGAGGATTTTCTCTTAATTCTTCTTCTTCATAATATGTATTCACATAATATCCAACTCGAACAAACTCTTTGTCTCTATATGAAGCAGTGATGATGATCACTGTAACCCCTAATATCTCCTCTGGTTCGAGAGAAGGAAGTAGATGATGAGCTGGAGCTGGGGCGGAAAAATCAAAAGCGTTGATTCCTGCTGGTATAGGACCGACTGCGAGTTAAATCAGATATCTTCTTTCTTCATCCTTTGTTGTATTTGCCTTCGACCGTTGTCACTTCCCACCATTCTCCAGAAGCTGACAGGGTCTCTTTCCTGACATTTCAAGGCCTCTCCCTAAGATCCAGGGGAAAGGGGATAATGCTGGGTATGATTAGAGATGGTTGAAAAGGCAAAAATGTGATGAGCACGATTTGGAAGTATCAGGTAGTTTTCGTACAAGGAAAGGAGAAGATACCTCACCCATACATGAATCCAACTCTTGATCATATTCCTCCGACTTTGCAGAACCAACATATATCAGTCTCCATTCTAGGTCTGAGACAATCAGCTCGGTCACAACGTACTCGGCTGAAGTAAGACAAAAGATCATACAGATATCGAGGCGGCAGGGCTCGAAGGACGGGAGATGACTCACCCTCCGCTAACGGAGCTATGGCTTCGAATTTGATGCGAAAGTTGTATTGCTCGTCGAAGCGTGCCGGATTGTTGAGCAGGGATATCTCTCGAATGTTTACCTTTACATGAGCCCCAATTTTTTTACCATTCATCCAACTGGATAGACTAGTGTAACAAGGTCGACTCACGATAGACTGTAAGGTGTAGGTACAAGTCGGATAGAAGGGAAGGCCTCGTCAGCTCTTGTCATATCGCTTTCATCGCCAGGAAGCTCACCATTGCAAACGGGTTGAATGGAGGGTCAGGGATATTTATCAGTTGACCACTGGTCCTGCCTGATGGGCCGTAGTACAAGTTTTCAGCTTGAGAGGAAGCGGATTGATGACGAGGAGAGGAGGAAGAGAAGGAAGGTGAGGTGAGATCGACATATGGACGCGACTGAACGCGAGTGGACCTCCACTCCACCCCCACACATGACGTGGATTTACCCCACTCTCACCTTATCACCACAGACCACGACTAGGAATTTCCTCTCCCTTCTCCATCATATGCACCATATCTTACAGACAGCTGGCAACATTCCATACAGACTCGTCAGGTCTCATGTCTTGGCACAACTAGAGAAGTCCACCAAGAACTTCGTAATCTCGTCAAGGTATCACAGCCAACACACGATGACCGCTTCCCATACCATCGACCTTCCAGGGGGTATACCACGGGATCACAAGCCCCATACGGAGAGTACAACCACCATTCTCGTTCCAACTGCCCAAACGGCCTTCCTTAACCCTGTACAGCAGTATAATCGAGATCTGAGTGTGGCAGTCATCCGGACGTTCAATGAGACACGATCGGAGGAACTGCGGAATCGTTGGAGAGCGAAGCAGGACAAGGGCGGAGGCAGGCGGAGGAAACAGAAACAGCCTGATGAAGACGGTAAATCGCCAATTGAGAATGGGAATCATGGTCAGTTTGAGCAGCATCCGTTTAGGCTTTTATAGCTCATTATCAGCTGGCGATTCAGAGCATAAAGCGGATGCCGAAGTGCCTAGACCGGGCCCTTCACGTTTTCGAGAAGTGAGTTCAGGCTTGACCATTTGAACATCGGCGCGGCTGACTGTGTCGTAGGCATTCAGGACACCTCAAATCACCATACTGGAAGCATTATCAGCCACGGGCTTGAGATCGATACGTTATGCAAAGGAGATAGATAATGTCAAGTGAGCTTTTTACTTTACTTTACTTTACAACCTTCCAACCATATCAGCCACCAAATTCGACGTAGCGATGACGGTCACGAGGCTGAGCTGCAGGTTAGTATTAGCAAATGATCTCTCTCCTTCTGCATGCGAAGCAATGAAAATGAATGTTCGATATAACAGTGTTGGTGAAGACGACCCAGACTCAGGACCTTCAGTGTCTACCTCGGAACAAGAAACTTCACTACCTGTCGAGGAAGTCCAACCGATCATTTCTGAAGAGGAGGCCATGAATGGTGCATCTGCACATTCTGAATATTCTTATGGTAGGAGATTCAACTGTAAAGGTAGAGTAAGGGTGAATCAAGGAGATGCTTGGTATGTGTGTCTCAGAAGATCTCACCGACATTTATCTGACGTTAGTGCATTCATGTATCAACAACGAGCGGATAATAGACGGATAGAGGTGGTGGATCTTGATCCATACGGTACTGCAGTGCCTTTCATCGATGCCGCAATCAACTGCGTGGCAGACGGAGGACTATTGTGTGTGACGTGTACGGACATGGCGGTGTTGGCGGGGTCACACTATCCGGAGAAGTGGTGAGTTGTGACGCATCTCTTCGTCTAAGGTATCATCCAAGTCTATGGGGCATTTAGCCCAATTGTGCGTAGCCTTGGTCTTCAATTCGAAAACAAGCCTTAGGCAGGATGATGTGCGGTACGCTGAAAGTGTAGTTTCTCCAATTACGGAGGTGTCAGTGTCAACGCGGAATATTCTCACGAAGTTGCCCTTCGTCTCATGCTCAACTCTCTGGCAACAACAGCCGGAAGGTACGGCAAATACATCGTCCCTCTTCTTTCCCTTTCCATCGATTTTTACTGTCGTGTTTTCATCCGTGTTCACAATGGTGCAGAGAAAGTCAAATACCTCTCCAGGTGGGTCCACATAATTTAGTTCATCCCTCTCTCACTTATTATCACAATTCAGGTCTAAGAGTTGACAAACAGTCAAACGGGTATCACGTACAGTTGCTCGTATTGTCACAGCTTCCTCATCCAACCCTTTGGCCGTACCGCCGTTCGTGAGAATAAGAAAGGTGGTACATATGATGTGCACAAAGCTGCTGTGGGGCCAGTCGGTGAAGGTAGTAAATGTGAAGAATGCGGTTCGACGATGCATGTGGGAGGACCCATGTGGCTCGGGCCATTACATGATACTGAGTTTGTGGGAAGGGTGTTGAAGGGTATTGAAGGGGATAAAGAACATTATGGGACTTGGTCGAGGATGTGGGGAATGTTGACAATCGCACAGAATGTGAGTCTATTCGAGGTCTTGTTTGTAGAACCTGGTTATCGTTTCCATTAGTCTGAATCCCCCTTTTCGACAATCAGACTGTCGGCTCTAGCTAAGTAATCGTCTACTCCAATTATATGGTCTGGGACATGCAGGACGACAGCTGGCTACCTCGCCATCAGGATGTTGGGGAAAGTGTCAGAATGCTCAGCTGACTCTAAGGAAATATCCGATCCTTTTTACTTCACCTCCAACAAGATCCACGGAGCCTTACACGCAATCAGCTCTCCTTCCTCTCAAGTCATCTCAGCGTTACTCAATGCAAACTACAGAGTATCCCGTTCTCATGCTTCGCAAGGTAGTATCAAAACGGACGCTCCTAGAAGTTTCATCTATGATATCGTCAGGGAACATATCAAGAAGGTGCCTGTCAGAATGGACAAAGTCCCGGAAGATAGTCCAGCACGGAAATTAATAGAGAAGGAGATCACGTGAGTATTTCTATTGCCCGCCCTTTGTCTCTATCAAAACCTACAATCTTCCCTTGACCTTTTGCTGCTACTTCCTCTTACACAGGGCTGTTCATATGTATTTGAAGATCAAGTGAGCGGAGATGGGATGAATAATCGTGATGCGCGGAAATTCTTCATACTGATTGACAGTCACAAAATCGACTTCACACCCCATCCTGATGTAGCCAAATTTGAGAGAGGTGAAAAGGTCGTCTTCTATCAAGTCAACCCTACACCCCATTGGGGTCCAGGATCAAGGGCTAAAACTGTCATAGGACAGAAACGTAAATCCGATGAGGCTGTCAATGGTGAGTTGGAAGAAGGAGAGGCTAAAGTCGTCAAGATGGAAGAGGAGACAGTAGTCAAGGAAAACTGACTAATGCATAACGATGTCATCTTTCTGACTGACTGCTGATAAGTGTCAGCTGCTCATCTTTCCTTGATGACTTACTTTTTGATTCGGAAGAAAATTCGAATATTTCACTGATTTGACGGTTTCACATTTCAAGGACAATACACTAATAGAAACTGGTTACATGAGACACGTTCCACGAATTATCAATTACATAAGTCTACACACATACTCACAACCCGTTTACTTCTCATCATATTTTGTCGTTACAGATTGCGGAGCATCAACTGAATAAACCCTTTCGTTTCCATACCTTCCATTCCGTCGTAAGAAACTCGAAAACATCTTTCTTGGAGAGAACTTTCCAAAAGGTGATTGTCTGGGAGTATGTAATATTTTACTAGAAGGAACTGGACTAGAAGGATTTAGGTTCGATAATCCTAATGCGTTCAACCATCCACTCGACGACGAATCGGATGTTTTCCAATCTTCATTCGGCGTTTCATGGATATTCTGATCTCGGGTGCCCTCCGGTATGAGGTTTAAATCATTTGAAGAGTTTAAATCGGTCGATCCGAAAGTACGGTCTGACATACCAGAGTCGAACGAATGGGATATGGTTGAAGTTGATTGTCGAGCGGGATGAGGATAAGGTATGAATATATTTCTTTCACCTTCTCTTGTCTCCCCTACACTTTTCCCTGTATGCCCATTTTGACTTCCATTTCCTCTCTTTATCCCTTCTCCTTTGACTTCTCCTTGTTCGTTTCCGTTCCCTTCTTCATTCTCATATCCCAATCCTATTCCTTGTCCTTGTCCTTCGTTCCAAGTGGGTTTTAAGACCGGTACACCTCCTATCATATCTTCTGAAGTGGGAAGTTTGACAAGTCCGAAATACGAAACCGTTCTTCTTACTTTATCCACAGCCCCACTTCCTCTAACAGGCAAAGAAACAGGTCGGTTTCCGTTCAGAATGGTTGTATATTCCGTAGGTGGAGTTTGTGGGATCCAAGAATCTCTTCCATCTTCTAATTTCTCCCACGTACTTTGAAGGGGGTGAGGAGGACGTAAACTGGAAGTCGTATATTCGCTTCGAGAAGAATCTACCAACCAAGCGAGTAGTCTTTGACTGAATGGATGGGATTCGGTATGCTAAGGATATCAGTTTCGTGTGATATTTCTCTCTTTAAGTGATATCTTGTCTTTCTCTCAAGAATGGGACTTAGAATACGGTGTTCAACAGGATGAAATTGGATGAGAACTCGACGCGTGAAAAGAAGGAGAAGGAGAAGGAAAATATGGAGAAGGAGGAGAAGGAAAAGAAGGAGAAAAGGAGACGTGTACTCATTTACACTCACCTCTCGTCCATCTGGATTATGTCGAAGATAAGTAGGTCCAATGAATTTTCTACGTCTTCGGAGATAAAGGAAAGATAAAAATATGATCAAACTTAATGCCGCTAATACACCTAGGGTTATAGCTACTAATTTTGGCACGTCCACTGTATCATTAGTTCAACTTCCTTCCTTCCACATTCACTATCTCTACCAAGCAATGTCCTCGTAGCTGGACAAACACGAACTGACCGTTCAAGATGGTCTATGTTTATCCCTGAACCACAAATGGAGCTGCGGCTGAGACGAGCCAAAACGATTAGACGGAGACGAGAAGCTTTTGGAGAACGCGGGTAATACGACAGAGGAAAGAACTCACAAGAAGGTCCAGGTATGGTCCCAATGACAGGTGCATTGGTATTACTCGTGGAAACGCTAGACGATGGCTTTTTCGATCCGCTTGTGATTTTCGTCCCACTGGACGACAGGGAGCTGAGAGAGGTTGGAGTCTGAGCAGAGGAAGGAGAAGAGAAGATGGGTAATGATAAAGTGGGAGATAGGGATGAAGATGTCTGGGCAGGTAAGTTTGCCGGAGGGGAAGAATCGGACGGAGGTGAATCGGACAGAAGGGAAGGCGAGGAAGTAAGAGACGAATCTGTGGAAGATGTCAGATTAGAAGAAGAAACAGACGGGGTAGGGGAAGCAGATGTCGGAGTGGTAGATTTGGAAGTTTTGGATGTTTGAGAAGTTTGGGAAGTGGGTGTGGAAGGTTTTGACGAGTGAGGAGAGGAAGATTGACCACAACTTCCGGAAGCTAATCATCAACATCTTCCGTCATCTTATCGACTTCCAAGAACGGGACAGCAACAGGTAACTTAGACAGGTATGGTGGGATACTCACCGACAACTTGAGGTTCTGATCATCAGCATTAAATCTATCGCAACACCCATCAACTCGTCACGCCGAATGCCCTGGCAGTCGAATCGACAGTCCATCCGAATATCATCTCATATCAGATCCAGCAGCTGAGAAAGTGTACTTGAGACGGAGGAAACGAAAAGTTGAGGTGGGTTAATGAAACTCAGATTTACCTGAATATTCCAAATTACCAGAATTATCCTGTACTACAAAAGTCAGGTCTGATCCTTCAGGTTGGTCAACAGTCCATTCCATTGATGTATCACTGGTCGAAGGCCATGATTCTCTATTTTCATTAGTAAGTAGAATTCTGAGTTTCTTTTCCCCTTTCCTCCCTGGTACAATCTTCACCTCTACATCTCTATCTCACCCGCCATTCTAGTTGACTCTTTCTGACCTCTCCTCTCGGGTTTCACACCCTTATCCAGTGAGGCATCAACAAGACACAAGACAGTACGTCTCCAATGGCAAACGAAAGTGAAAATCAGAAGAAACTTACAATGCAGGTGCATTATCCACTCCACTTTGAATGATCCATACGGAAAATGGTGCCGAACCAGACCATGTTATCTCTGCCTTTTCACACTTCACATTAGTCTCTCATTATGATCATGACTTCGACTTTCAACCTCATCCTTCCCTCCCACTTCACGGTATCAGATGCATGAGACCCGATTGGACTTCAGAAACTCTAATGAATGAACTTACGGCTTTCAAGGGTGGAAGGGAAATATGTTCGATAACGTCTTTCTCTACTACCAACATTTTCTCTTCATCAATTACGAAATTCCCAATTCTGGATCTCTTGTCTAGTCAGAATAACCGTTACTGAACTACACCTCTTGGAGGGCTATTGACCTAGACAGACTTGTTCCGTAGCTGAGTCAGTAAAAGAAAAGCTCAGAGTTAGTGACATTGGAGGAAGGTGATATTTCCAGCATGCGCGATTCCCATGCTGCCATCTTTGAAACATGTCAAACCGCGAGAACCAATTCCGATTCTGCCGCAATACGTAACATACGACGAAGACAAAGACAAAGGAACAAAGGGACAGGGGATCGAAGGTATCCATGAAACCGACCCAAAAAGTGGTGGAAGGAGGTTGCGTGTGGTAAAGGACCTCAAAGTGGGATCTTGAAATGGAGGCTTGGAGTCGTGGGAATAAAGGTTGAATGGTGGATGATTACGTGGGACAAAACCATCAGATACTCAATATGATCTGATTTGATATATCCAATGTCAGGACTTACGAATATTTTGAGATGTATGAATCGTCTCAGAGAAGAAGGAGCACAATTCAATATGGTGATATACAATATGATACTGTAGGACAATCATCAGGAAAGGCAAAGATGAAAGTGGTGCCTATGGAAGTAATATGATTGTGGGATGAATGTGATATGAATGTGAAATGGATTCATGTATTATGAGTACTTGTGGTACCGTGTTACAACATTCAGCTGTGTCCTGCACATGTCTGATCATGAGATGATCCCCTTCCATTCCATTCTTCCTAGTTGAAACCCTGACATGATGGTTTTTTTCTCTTATCAATGTCGCATCCAACTCTCATCCGTCAATGCCGCACTGAGCGGTACATCCCTCATCGTTCTCGACGTTTGTATTGTCTTCGTTGTTTGACGTTTGGATGATTGCCATTCCAGATCATCCATAAGGTTGAAATCACGACTAGTCGGTCTGGTTTCTGGAACAGAAAATGTTGTCTCTCTTCTTGTCTCATCTCCATCACCATCATATCCTCTTTCCGCCGTGAAAATCCCGGTAGGTGCTTCGGAGAAACGCATGTCTCTCGTCAGGGCAGTGACGGTCGAAGGTGCACCTGTCCTTCTTGATCGACTCGAAGGACTATGAGAAACGTTGGAATGGAAAATCATACTTGATGGTGCTGCACTCGGTAAATTTGAATGTGGTGCGTTGGTTTTATAAGTCGGAAGTAGTGATCTGGGGGAACCATATGGAAGAGAAGTTGGAGATTCGTTTATAGGAGTAAGTGTTTTACGTTCTAAAGTCATCTTTGGAATTTGTAATCGATCCAATGTGGGAGGTAACATGGAACCTAATGATGATATGGAATTCCTCTCGGAGGAATTATCTTCTACTCCTTGTTCATGTGTGTAAGCGATTGTGGAGTTGAAACTTTCTCTTTGATCATAATTCTGAAAAGAATCATTTCGTGCATGTCGATTATCAGGGAGAAGAGCTGCAGTGTCCGGTAGGGCTGGCATGTTTACCACAGACGGAGAAGATTCAGGGTCGGTGGTAGAGTTGGAAAAATACGATCGAGTGGCGAATCCATGTATTGGTGAAGCGCCCGGTGGACGATAAGCGAAAAAGCCTTGTTGTTCGCTATTGCCTGATAATCGACGACCGAGAGTCGGAGACTCGGTCATATAGGGTTGATGAGTGTGCGCATGGGCTTCAACAGAAGCGATAGATGTTTCTGGTGTTGGAGGTCGAGATTTCTCACTAGGTAATGGATAAGGTATAGGAGTCAGTGAATTATCAGATACCCATGTGGTCAAACCGGATTGAGCTTTTCTCCATCGATCCTATTTGTCAATCTCCATAAAATGCAATAATGTTGATAGATAGACTTACGGAACCTTGTCGTCGTCGTCTTCGAGAACAGTAGATGATACTGACAACAAACCCAAGAGCTGAAACGAGTGATACAATCCCAATAGCGAGACCTGCGATCTTGCCTCCGTTGACTGATTATTAGATATGATGAATCCCGTGCATGAACCAACTCACTGGATGATGATGGCTTGTTACTTTGAGCAGACTCAGGATCTCCGGCTTCTTAGCGTAAGCGAGGAAAAACAAGATCGTGAAGGTAGCGAGAACTCACCGGTCACCGGTACCCCAGCTACGACACTGGTCGATCCGGATATGGTGAGTGTCTCACTGATCATTCCACTTGACCAGGATCCGGAAGGCATACTGACAAGCGATATCGTCATAGATCGACTGCTCGAAGAGGTCGTATCACCAGAGCCGGAAGAGGGAAGAGCTAGAACTGGTCCACTACCACTGAATACGCCAGGTAAACTGACACTGGAACTTGAAATTGAACTTGAAGCAGGATTGGACACAACACTGGGGGTTGGTGTGCTGGTGGGAGTAGATGTTGGAGGTGCTGGTTGGGGTTGAGTCGTTGTAGAGCTCGAGATTGGAGATGATGTAGGCGCAGGTTCGTGAGAAGTAGGCGCAGGTGCAGGTGCAGTGGACGGTGGGGGTGCAGGAGGAGTCGTTGTTGTACTTGGAGCAGGACAGGAACCTTGTCCTTTTCATCAGTCTGGATAAAGGTAGTTAAAGGATTTTCTTACGTACCAATGGTCCGAGGATCCGAATAAACCGTTTGACCGGTTTGATCTTGCAATGCAAATGTGACTGAAGAGCCTACAGGGATGTTCACTACCCATACCATAGCCGCAGCGCTTACTACCCCGAAATCCTCACTATTCGATTAGTCATGATCCAAAAGTTGGCGAGAAAGACTGACAGAGGAGTGGCATTATCTTGACCTGACTGAATAACCCAAACATGATAAGGACCCGTACCACCTGTCCATGTTATAGCCACTGGTTGACACTGGTATGTCAGCCTTCAGGTAAACCGCCAAACGTTAGCTCGCCGACTTACTCCTGGTAGGTCGGGCACACTGATTTGGGCGCTCGCTAGTACTTTCCTCGGTCCTAAGCCCCACAACAACAAAGTGATTGCCCATGAGACCCAGAACATGTCGGTAGTGGGTTGTCCGATATCCTGATGAAGAGAGAAAGAATAGTAAGATAATCTCGTCACCTTCCAACCCACGACGATTCAGCAAGTCAACAAAGTGGTCAGCTCTCACAAACTGCCGATCATCCCACCCCTCATTCAGATACCGGGGATACCCTCGGCCGATCAAGTCAGCGTGAGAAGGTTCTCAGGATGTCCCTTTGTAGCCTAAATGCATCTTGTCAAGTGGTGGTAGGAGGATGAAACTGGTGTCAAAGGGACCTTTCCGGGCTAACCATGCGGTCAAAATGGTCAGACGAAAAAAGAAGGATTTGAGAGAAAAAAGAGAAGAAAACAAAAGTCGGAAGTAAAGGTATGAAGTGGCAATCGAGAATTGTATCAAAGGTGCTGCTAAAGGCAGGAGTTTGCATTGAAGATGGTAAAGATGTTAAAGCGTCGCCATGCCAAATGGATTACGATTATGGTTTTGATCATGATGAGATTGATGAAGAATCTGATAATCGACTTGTAATCTCTTGTCTTCTCACCTGAATGCCGTCCAAGATACCCCTGGTGATATCCCGCCAAACGGTGGATGATGTCGTTTGTAGATACCTTTGTAATAAGGGGAATTCTTCAAGATCCTGTGTTATTCCTTCGCCGACCTCGGACCCGTTGACAGGATTGGTATTAGGAACATCACCCTTGGATGCTGCATCCAAAAGGCTCACAAGCACAGTATCGATAGGCACCCGACCAAGGAAAGGGAGTTCATTTCGATGAGCCATATCCTCTCCTCCGCCGCGGCCGAAACAATCGTTGATTTCTCCGCAACAAGGACAGACGTAACCTGACATGTTTTCCACTAATCCTAATACTGGAAGAGCGAGTTTTTTGGTGAAAGATAAGGATTTGATAGTGTCATTCAGGGCCGTGGTTTGAGGAGTGGTGATGAGTATGGACGAAGGTGTGGTTGGTCGAGAAAGGTTGGGACTGAAAAGAGGGTGTAAGTGCGTCATAAGAGATATGTGTTCGTCTGATGTGCCTATGATTGTCAGCGTAGCCAGTAAGAGGAGAATTGGATGATACGAACCGGGAGGAGTGTCAATGACCAAATAATCCAAATCTCCCCATCGAACCTCTGAGAGAAATTGACGGATCATCCCATCTTTCTTGGGTCCTCGCCAGACAACGCTATCCCCTCTATCCTTGAGCAAAAAGGCAATACTCATGACACCCAATCGTCGGCCTTGATCAACATACACCGGAACCCAGCCGGCCGAGGACTGATGCACAGTGGCTGTTGGAACGTCGAGACCGACCATGCGAGGTATCGAAGGACCGGTGAGATCTAGGTCAAGAAGGCCGACTCTGGTCGTGGGAGTCAGAGAGAGTAGAGACAGAGCGAGCTGAACAGAGGATGATGATTTACCGACCCCACCTGATAAGATCAGCAATAGCACGGGAGTGAGGAAGGGGTTGGGGACATACCTTTTCCGGACAACACGATGATTATATTCTTCACAGATGACAGTCTAAGTGATACAGGTGTTTCAATGGTGTTTGTCATGATGTCTATGCAAGCTCTTTCCTCTACCACCACCACCTATAAGTGTATACTACTTTGTCTTTTGTATGACCGAGGTTTCTGCGATTTCTGACCAAGCGAAAGATGAGTTTGGGTGGCAAAAGATCAAGCACGTGGGGTGACGTTATTAGATACCCCCACTTTGCGTCTCACCTCGCTCACGATATCACCTATTGTTTTCATTTTCCTCAACTTTTCTCTTTCACTTTTCCACCCACAAATCGTCCGTTTTCTCATCATGTCCAACGTCGGGACAGTGAGACATGTGCCCAAAGATGTCCGGTACAGGTTCTTACAGGTAGGTTTTAGCTCTCCATATGACGTGCAAGAGCTGACCGTTCACAGATGGCCGCTCCGGCATCCTACGTCGCAGGTCTCGGTCGAGGGTCAGTCTTTCTACTTTTCATGTATCATTATATTGCTAACTTGATCAGAGCTTCAGGTTTCACCACCAGATCTGATATCGGTCCGGCTCGAGAAGGACCATCAGCAGAGACCATAGCGTGAGTTGCTACTTCTCAAATCAATACCCTGCTCAACTGATAGGCAACAGGGAAGCCCAAGCAAAGAGGGGCGAAGAGATACCCGATCCCGATGCTATCCAAGATCCCGATGATGAACGAAACTTATTCGCTGGTACGGTTTATGAGGCCGATGACGAGGAAGCAGACAAAATATGGGATAGTGTAGACGAACGCATGGACGCTAGGAGGAAAGCGAGGCGGTGAGTGGCAAATTACATCTCCCCTTTGATACACGATATTGGGTCTGTCTCATGAGCAGAGATGCCGCAGAAGCCACTGCAGCTGAGAAGGAGCGAGCAAAAAACCCGAAGCTGCAAACTCAATTTGCAGATTTGAAGCGATCAATGTCGACTTTGAAAGACTCGGACTGGAATGCTATACCGGAGGCCGGAAATCTGACGGGAAAGCGGAGAAAACACAATCTTCGTCTCGAGGAAAATCAAAACGGGAAAAGTTACGCCGTCAGTGACACCGTTCTAGCCGACGCTGCCGCACGGAATGTGGTATTGGGGGAACTAGACCCTATGCAGCAAGAGGTACGTCCGCTTCGCATCCAAGAATTTCCACTAATCACTCAGAATGGCGGATTTGACACTCCCGCGACGGACGGGACCATGACTGACTTTGTCTCCATTGGTAATGCTAGGGACCGAGTGCTTTCGTTGCGTCTCGATCAGGTCAGTGGTCAATTTGCGTATCGTAGGCTTCAGCTGATTTCATGTAGGCTTCACAGGACGCCACGAACGGTTCATCTACCAGCATCGATCCACGAGGCTACATGACTGCTCTCAATAGTCAGATCCTCCAGACAGACGCACAGATAGGGTAAGTTGAAAGACCGCCTCGTGAGGATTGGAAGCTGACTGCCAGTGACATCAAGCAAGCTCGCCAACTGCTTCAAAACCTGATCGCTAGTAACCCTAAGCACGCACCAGGATGGATCGCTGCAGCATCTCTCGAAGTACACGCCAAGAAGATGGTACAGGCTCGGAAGATCATTGCTGAAGGCTGTGAGAAGTGCCCAAACAACGAGGATGTTTGGTTTCATGCTGCCGAACTCAACGTAAGTTTTGGCATCAATCGTTGAAGCTGGCTAACTGTCACAGACTCCTGAAAATGCAAAAATTATACTAGGCAAGGCCGTCCAGCACGTGCCAACTTCGGTCAAAATATGGTTGAAAGCTGCATCCTTGGAGAGCGATGTCGCTGCAAAGAAACGAGTCTTGAGAAAAGGTTTGTCGCTCTCAGGAAATACAGAAATGCAGCTAATGATCAGCTCTCGAATTCATTCCCAATTCCGTTGGACTCTGGAAGGAGACGGTGAACCTAGAGGACGATCCCGAAGATGCTCGTATTCTCCTCACTCGCGCCGTCGAGGTCATCCCGACGTCCGTGGAACTGTGGCTCACTCTCGCTCGTCTCGAAACACCCGAAAATGCCCGGAAGGTTCTGAACTCCGCTCGACAGCGTATTCCTACCTCACACGAAATCTGGATAGCTGCAGGTCGGCTAGCAGAGCAGTCCCCGGCGGCGGTCACGCAGGTCAAAGAGGAGGACGAAGATGAGTCTAGGCGGAAACTGGCCGTTCAAGTGGACAAGCTTATGGCCCTTGCTCTTAGCTCTTTACGAAAGAATCAAGTCGTGATGTCCCGGGAACAGTGGCTACAGGAAGCCGAGAAGTGCGAGCAGGATGGCAGTCCCCTGACGGCTCAAGCTATCGTCAAGGCGACCATTCACTTGGATGTAGAGGACGAGGACAGGAAGAACGTATGGCTGGAAGATGCAGAGCGAGCGGAGAAGGGGGGATTCTTCGAGGTCGCCAGAGCGTGCTTTGTTGTATTGCTGGAGACATTCCCTAATTCCTCGTCAGTATGGCGTCGAGCGGCTGAATTTGAGAAAGCGCACGGATCACCGTAAGTTGTTCTGGTCTTCAGGTAAGGATACCAGGCTGACGTCACCAGACAAGCTGTACATGAGATACTCGCGAAGGGTGTCCAACAATGTCCTAGGGCAGAGGTTTTGTGGCTCATGGCCGCCAAGGAGAAATGGGTCGGAGGCGATGTCGCGGGTGCCCAGGCCATCCTTGCCGAAGCTTTCAAGCAGAATGAAGACTCCGAGTCAATTTTCCTTGCTGCGGCTAAGATTGCATCAGAAACGAATCAAATGGACGCCGCCATGCAAATATTACAAAAGGCCCGGGCTCAAGCCAATACCGAGAGGGTATGTTCACTTCCATACTATCATGTCGCTGCGCTGACGATTCAGATCTGGATGAAATCCGCCATGTTAGAACGTCAACTTGATAGGCTGGACGACGCTCTGAAAACTCTCGACGAAGCCATTCGTAAATTCCCCAACTTTGATAAACTCCACATGATCCGAGGACAGATCTACGAAAGTCGAGATGACATTGCCAATGCCCGAGCTGCATATGCGCAGGGATGTAAATTATGTCCCAAGTCTGTTCCCTTGTGGATTTTATCCTCCCGCCTGGAAGAGAAAGCGGGCGTGACTATCAAGGCAAGATCACTACTTGAGCGGGGAAGAATGTATAATCCTAAGAATGACGAGCTATGGGCGGAGAGTATAAAGGTCGAAGAACGTTCTGGTGGTACTCAACAGGCAAAGACTCTGCTGGCCAGAGGTGAGTCATTTAGAATACTCCCGTGTGAAAAAAGGCTGATGATTTCAGCAATGCAGGAATGTCCCACATCACCTTTACTTTGGTCTATGGCAATATTCATGGAGAATCCTCAACAACGGAAAGGTCGATCCGTGGACGCACTCAAGAAAGCTGGTGAACATCCATCGGTCATTTCTGCTGTGGCTCGATTGTTTTGGGGAGAGAGGAAGATTGAGAAGACAAGACAATGGATGCAAAATGCTATTACCGCCGATCCGGATTGGGGTGACGCGTGGGGTTGGTGGTTGAAGTTTGAGAGACAACACGGAGAGAAGGTGAGTCGAGCGATTTTCATTTTCCATACTTTTTTGATTGAATGAGTCATGTGGAAGGAACTGAATATGGGGTGGAGCTAACAAACAGGAACGACAGGATACTGTCATAGAGAATTGCGTCAAAGCGAACCCCCATCATGGTCCGGTATGGCAGGCAGTGACGAAGGACCTGAAGAATATCGGCAAGAGCACGGCCGATATCTTGGAGTTGGTGGCGGAGCGGTTGGAGCGATGAGGTGCTTGGTCAGTTTATCATCATGCACCATGATGTGTTGATTACTCGCTCACCCCAACTTCTCACTCATCAGGTAAGACCATCATCTCCGTCTGGCATGGTGCTCTCACTTGTGTTGCCAGAATTGAGGAGGTTTGATGGCAAAATGACGAGACAGGCTTTGAAGTCGCTGACTCAGGTCCTCTATTCCCTTTCAATGAGTCTTGTTGTTTGTTTGAAAACAGCAGTAACCACGGATGAGGAGCGGAAACTTTATTTCCTCGGACAGCTTCACAATTACCCTCTCCTTGCCTTGTTGAGTCCGCTCCTAAACTCTGTCCCGTGGACATGGCAGCTGCAATGATGCTGTACTCAGACTATGTGGGTGCTGCATTTAGGGGTCGTTACACCGTGACAGTAAGGTAGGATTATATGAAGGAGGTTTGGGGAGTTGGGCAGCTGCAGCAAACATAGACAAAGGGGGACTCAAGAAGCACATGTGGAAGGGTTTCTCAAAGTCTGCAGGATATCTGAAAACATGGCAGGTATTCTTCTGTGGGACACGGATCATCAGCCAGTCACGATTATACCCGTGAAGCTTCAAAGCGTCATGTCTTCCGTACATCACCTAATATTGTTAGCAGGTCCCTCAACTTCTTCAGCGGTCCTTAAGTATCGTCAGTACCAAGAGATATAGATCAGTAGCTACATACATATATATATTGAGAGTAAACTACATTGCTGAGCAGTAAAAATGAATGCAGCAACATTGGCCTTGGTTCTCCAACAACAATCCACCCTTTCACCTGTCTCTGTTAGACATCAACACCCTCAAAGGTCAAAGTGAGTCAAGGGTTGTTGACCACTGGTCTGTAGTGGAGAGAAAGGTCAAGCCCAGTGACAGCATTTTGCCCTCCTCTCAGGCTTACCCTGATCTCTGTCTCTACTACCATTGATCCCTGACTTCCTTTCCTTTGCATGTTACTCAGACCTGTCCTATCTATAAGGTGTCTTTGTCGGAGGTCGCCACATCGGCTGAACCATTGATGGAGACTGGACCATAGCCAGAGACAGAGCTATCGCCAGAGACCAATTCTGTGCCAGTGCCCGACCCTGTCACATCTTCCTCGCTTATAGGTGACAACAAACTCCTGGATGAGTTCTCCACAGTGCCTGTCAACTTTTCGCTTGCTACTTTCCACTCAAACTCCATTGATGAATAGAGCATATGATAAATCTCCACATTCAGTCTTGGGGGCGGTTCAGCATGAGGAGAGACTTCTGTGAGCGCAAAATATGCATCCGACTCTGTTTTGTGTGCTTTGCATATCTCGAAAGTGGTTTGTATTGCATCATGGCATAGTGGTATGCTGAATGCCTCACCACTGGGGATGTGAAAAAATGTATTGTTCTTGGATTTCACATTGTTGTTCTCATCTTCTACTTTCTTGTCCTTGTCTTCTGCTTTGTCGTTCTTGAGTTCTACTTGTATAAAGTAATAATCATCAACATTTTCCTTGATAATAGAAAAGCGAGCAGCCCCTTGCAGGAGATCCTCTGATGATATGGGAGGGCCACTTGCAGCTATGGTCAATGCTGTCGCAAAGCGATTCACTAGGACATATCAGCTCCAATTCTACAGTTGGATATTGTTTCACAAGTACTCACATGCCTTAATGTCCACGGTCCTTGTTGGGGCTGTGGGATCAATATCTTCCTGAGTAGGTATGAAATACTTTGTTTCTTGACCACTCATGTTTGATAGGGTCATTATGGGTCTGTAGGGAGCTCCACCTGTTGGACCTATCCCCAAAATGGATATATTCTGGTAGATACAGCTTTCTAATCTTTGGACGAACCTTTCCAAAAATTCCGTCCCCGGCCTCACATGAACAGGATGATCAGAAGAAAGTGTGATGGGAGAGGTACTCATATTGATAGCGACTGGTGAGGAAGATGATATTTCAATGTTGGGTCTCATATGGATAGAAGTCGTGTCCATTGGAAGGGCATGTACAGGGAATGTTGATACCGCGTGGCGGTGTCTCCGAGATCAAGGGATATATCGATGTCGTGATCGGAGCTGCTACCGGTGGGTTACATTAATCAGCAATGTCCTCGAAAGCCGTATGACCGTTTGACCGTTTGACCGTTTGACCGTTTGACCGTTTGACCGTTTGACCGTTTGACCGTTTGACCATTTTGACCATTTTGACCATTTGTGGAAGTCAATTGGAGGCCCTCTTTGCGCACAAAGTCAGATCTCTTCGTGCACAAAGTGCCACAAAGTCACGTGACACGTGTACCTTATCAGTGAGAAAAAAGCCACGTGTGGTACCGCACGGACCCTCCTTCGACCCCTCTGCACAATCGTCAAACCTATGAACCTAAGCATCTTTTTTTTTTCATGACATATCCTTAATGCATTCTTTCTAAAAACAATGTAGACCTGTAGAACTGACCTGTCTCTATCAGCTGGTGAACAGTTTACATGAAAAAGTGAGAAACTCACCAAGATACATGATCTTTTCTTCCACCCCTCTGTCCACCGGTTGAAAATGGTTCAGACATGATCTCCTGGCCTATACTCGCGAGGGGGTATTCCCTGTCTCATACCACGGTTCCTGGCGTCTAAAAGACCCCTTTCTGCAAAGTTTGAGCCATTTTCGAGTCCTTCCTGTGCATATGGTGGGGGATAAATCGGTGGATAAAAGGTAGGTTGAAAATTCGAGTAATTGGGTACAGGAGGGTACATAGGTGGCCTCTGGTACCAATTAGAGGGCCCAGGAGCTCCTGGTATGAAGTGGGGAGAAGGGTGGAAGGGATAGGGGGAGTATTGACTCATTATCTGCTCTCATCAGCTTGAAACTTTTACTCGTGTATGAGAAGAAGTGACAGGACACATGTCAATGAAATGCGTACCATTGAACCTGTCCTCACCACCTCAGAAGCTGTCCTCGCCATCTCTGCAGGCCTCGGTGTCATCACAGAGGCCGTATCCATCATCCTTTCTCCATTATCCTGTGTTGTCTCTTGAATCCTGGCCAATAACTCCTGCTCTCTTGCTGCCACCGCTTTTTTCGCAGCACACATCCATGTAGTCGCATGCTTTTTACCACCCAGAGTACATTTAGGTGGTGGTGGACGGTAGGGAGCAGATTGCTCAGATTGGGACAGAATTCTTCCACTGCCGGCTTGAGGGGGAGCAGTATTCGAGGCCGCAGGCCTGGGGAGACGTTGCGAGGCAGGAGGGATCGAAGGAGACAGTGTAGATGGGGTGAACATTGGTGTAGGTCGAACTACAGTAATTCCTTGAGAGGACAAAGCTTGAGAAGCAGTGATTCGAAGAGCACGACGAGCTCGTAAACCAAGGTTCAGTGGGGGGTCCAAAATGTACCGATCTGCATTTTCGTTGGCTTGAAACTCGTCAGAGAGTCGTTGAACCCCTGTAGCCTGCATAGAAGTTCGCTGAGCTCGTGTATTGGTGTCTTCAAGAAGTTTTTCGAACCCATTGTTTGGTAATAGTCTCCAATGATGATGTATCTGTTCAATTCTCAGGACACCGTCTTCTTTTATGATAGGGACGATTTTATGAGCACAGGGGAGTCCTGTCGAAGCAAAAAAGTTACCTGAGCATTTGTTATTGCTGTTCGGTTGTTCAAGAAGTTTGCTAGCAAGTCGAATTTGATGTTCAAGCTCGTCAGCCGCAAATCTTGAGATCTCGCGACGAATAACACTGAGTACTCGATCACCCAATGGTACTCGAACGCTTTCCTGACCATTTACTAATAAAATACTTGCCCACTGCTTTTCTAAAAACCCATCTACTTTGTGGATGACATGCCAAAGTGTTCCTGTGTATGTCTTTAAAAACTCTTTAAGAGAACGATGTTCACCTTCATTTCGCGATGTTGTATGCTGTTGTAAATTGCGATTCTTATTCGTAAAAGCGTAAGCCCATTTTTCCTTGCTTTCAAGTAATCTTTCGATGTATCGAATTGCTGGTTGATGAGCAGGTTTTGAGAATTCTAGTCTTATCTTGTCCATCCCCTGTTCGAGCTTGAAGACGTCTTTTGCTTTAACCACTTCCCTCATCCACATGTCCCCAAATCTCGACCTCTGTCCCACAGGATCTTCTTCGTCTTTAAAACATTGAGACTTATCACAGGCGTGTTTGACATTTTCCCTTAAATGCCAAGTACAATACTGCTGAACAGCATTTGGGAGGTGTTTTTCGAGAGCTTTAGCTAATGCTCTTTCTCTGTCGGTTACTACTACTTGTATTCGATGAGGTAGAGGGCCCATTAGATCAAGAAATCCTTTAAGAGCAATATCGTACCAACCTGTCGTCTCTCGATCGATAAAAGCAATGGCCGCAGTAAACGTTTTATTCGTAGCCGTCACACCAGTGATGTGTAACATTGGATAGCTGTATTGATTGGTGTTATACGTACAGTCCATCATGAGGACGGTTGGATAACAGTGTAAAAGAGCTCTTGCAGTGTGAGTGGTGTATATTAGACCCCGAGTCTCATTGTGACTGTTTATTAGGCCTTTAAAAAGGCGTTTCTCTTTTTCAAGTCGTAAAAATACGCTCTCTGTTGATGAACGCCCTTGCTGTCGACTTTTCTCATACCTCCACTTGAAGTTTGACACATCTGCAGAGGTCAGAAGGGGTTGGTCGGGGTGACTTTTAAGAATTTCGAGTATTTGGTAGGGAGTAAAGCCTTTATCGATGTATTCTTCAAGAAGTTTATTGATAGTGGGGGTTCGTGACGCCTTTCGAAGGTGTGAGAGTAGCATGTTTTTTATTGGAGGGTAATTATGTTCATTACATACGGTGGTGAGCAGTACAGGACGATATCCATCGGCGAGGGCGTCTTTTTCGTGAACTCTTGAAAGTTTTAGTTGAAAGGGACAGTCTTGTCGCTGAGTATGACATTTTTTCTGTCGAACTTGTTCATATCGAGGACGGCGACCTGTCCTGTAATGTCCACTACAGATACATCGTAGAATCATGTATTGGGCTGGCTGATTGCTTGAGGAAGTAACTAGAGCAAACCCCTTGTTTTCAGCTATGAGAGAGAGTTTGTCACGGGCCACATTGACTGTTGGCTGAGGAGAAAGTCGTAAAGGTGGATGAACCAAGTTGGGGAGACGTTCGTGGGGGCCAAATTCGTCTTCGTCAAGTGGTAGCAATTGATCCTCGATTTCAATGTCCTCGGACTGACTGTGAGGGGTTGCAGGGCCAGAGGGAAGATCAAAGAAGTTGTCTACAGGTTCAGGAGAAGAGTTTGGTATACTGATCTCTCGTAGAGGTGTGAGAGATAGCGGAGAAGGTGAAGATTGCTGAGTTTCGGGGATCAAGATTTCGCTTGGACTACGCTCGAATTTGAGAGGGGGAAGTGATGGGGGAAGTTCGTAAAGGAAGCTATCTTCACTTGAGGTATCTGAGATCTCAATGGGCTGGGATTCAGACATTGTTGAGGCTGAAAAATGATGAAAATTGGACTAAAGACATTAGCCCAGATCAAGGGGAAAAGGAGCGAAGGGAGATACGTACGATTAGATGAGGAGGCAAGATTAAGAGGTGTAAACAGTGTAGATAGGGGTAATGAGGGGTGCTGAGAACAATGGTGATGTTTAGAAGTCCTTGTTTGAAGTTCTTGAAGCTGTAAAGAAGGATTAATGGGTTGGTATTGAAGACAGGTTGAATGATCAAAGTGAAAAGTGAGTCGCGAAGCGGTTGTGCGGTACCACACGTGTCTTTTTTCTCACTGATAAGGCCACGTGTTTGTGGCAGTGTCACGTGACTTTGTGCACGAAGAGATCTGACTTTGTGCGCAAAGAGGGCCTCAGTCAATTGTGGTAACCCTCGGGGTATTCAGGTACATTTGGCGTAACAGGGGAGAAGATGCCAAGATCCATGCCAGGAATTGATCACGAGCGAAATCAATACGTTCCTCATCCGGCTCCGAAGTTAGGTCACCCCACCATGTTTGTCAGTTTCATAACATCGCGTACATGTGTATGATCGTAATGGTCTGCTTGTGAGGATGACAATGAAGAAATAAATGTAACCTACCCGTAGGGCTTGTACGAAGTGTACGAAGTGTACGACGAGTACAATATTACGATGATAGTAGACAGTTGCATCAAAGACTATTCAGTTGAAATCGAACGATATAGTAATGCATAAAGACATGAACGAGCTAACAAGAAGAAAAGTTTCAAAGCGCATAGCTTATTCAATCCCTCCAACACTCCCACCAAGCTAGAGCTGTTGAACAGAAACTACACAAGTGCCCTCAATGCTAACTGGGAAGGACAATAGACCAAGCACTTCTGTGAATCGAGCGAACAAAGTTGGTGATAAGGGTTTTGTGAGTCCATCAGCAAGCACTGCAGCAGTTTCTGTTTGCTGATTATTAGATGATAATACAGAGAGGAAAAGAGCATGTATCGAATCTACATGTCTCTATACTTATCACATTCCACTCATACGCAGGAAACCAGAGACGATCGAATAAAGTTCAGAGGATAAGTTGAACGAAGGGATATTCGACGGAAGGGGAAATTTCAACGGCGGTTCGGCCGTTCTGGGCCGATCCTATCGGCTAACACTTCCCCACGGGACAATGCACGACTCTGCAGTAGTCCCGGACGATTTATTGATGGCGACGGCGAGGTTTGTGATGGTGTAAGAGGTAGTAATGACGAAATGTTGAGTGTTATGTGTGTGGTAGTAGTGGTAGGTGAAATCGTGAAATGAATTTCTGTGGGGCCCCCTGCGGGGCTCCGCTCTGACACGTGGCTACCACTCACTACTGGCGACTCACTCTTCTCTATCTTTCCTTTTACTTCATCACTTTTACCTCCAATTAACGGTATGTTCACTTCTCGTTTTTCTCCACTTTTATCACTCATTTCTGACTGTCTGAACTTCCTTCTATCCTGTCGAGTTCTTAAAACTTCAGGTTTAGCAGTAAATTCACAAGAATTGGTAAATTTCCTTCCTGTCACTGGCTGACAATATTTTACAGGATTATCGTTCACCAAAATTTTTCGATTTCTATCTTGAACATCAACATGTCCCGGCGGGGTTTTCTTCTTGTTGGTTTGTGGAGAGAGTCGGAGAGAAAAGGTACGTCCATTATTGATTCTATCTTCTAAACTGACTTTTTGACTTCTCTCCAATGATGACGTTCTATTTACATATGTTGGTGGCGACCATTTCATACGTTCGGTTTCTGTTGGCGTCCGCCTCTCGTGGTGGACAGGGGGCATCGTCCCCCTTATTCGATTTGATCCACAAAATGGAGGCGTGTGAAGGGGCGGTGAAAGACGTCCTGGATGATGAGATGAGATATCGTGGTTTGGAGATGGGGAATGTGTAATTTTCTTTCCTGATCTGCTGTTTTTATTTTTAACATGTGGCAAACCATCTTCCCTTCTCCTTCTGTTCTCTCTCATCTCTCTAATGATTCTAGGTTCTGCTGGTGGTTTCTGACCTATCTTAGAATTACTCACACTCTTAGGTACATCTGAAAATTTTTCGTCATGGCTAACGAAAGCCATTCCTTCGGTGAGTTTCTCTGAAATTCCTTCCACCGTTTTTCCTTCCACCGTTTTTCCTTCCACCAATTTTCCTTCCACCCATACACCTGTCTCTGGTACTACTTCGTTCTCTGTACCTCCTGACAGATCTCCTAGATCCTCGAAATCTGAGTAATCATAATCAATGATTTCATCATCTAATGTCACGTATACTGAACCAATATTTTTCTTTTTCGGTGGTTCGACTCGTATCCCTGACATATTCACCGAATGTACTGGTCCACCTAAAGCTTTCGTGAGTACATCTGCTCTCTGAGAGACAGTGTTGACGTATTTTAGTTCGATAACTTTGTTACTGACTAAATCTCGAAGAGCATGATGTCAAATATCAATGTGTTTTGTCCTCTGGTGAGTACCAGGTTTCTTTGCGAGTGATATTGATCCTTGATTATCGCAATTTAAAACAGTAGGATCTGACTAGCCTATCTCCCTCAATAATCCTCTCAACCACTGAGCTTCCTTTCCTGCTTTGGCCATCGCAATGTACTCTGCTTCCACTGTCGACGATGACACTGTAGCTTGTCTTTTCGAACTCCAGGGTATCGATGAGTCGTTCATCATGAATATCCAAGCTGTAGTTGATCGTCGTGTGTCTTTACAACCGGCCCAATCAGCATCCACCCATCCTGCTAGATCGCTAGCCTCGCCACCAAGACAAATACCATGTAATCGAGTGGACCGAAGGTAGGTAATTACCATTATTCCTTCTTCCCACACTTTCTTCGTTGGTTTGGTTAGGTATCTAGCAAGGTATGAGGCTGCGTATGATATATTGGGTCGAGTACATGTGGCTAACCACTGTAGACATCCTAGCAACTCTTGAAATGGTCGAATTTCACTTTCCACCTCCGACATCGATGGACTTTTTGCAGTAAGGGGTAATGGTGTTTTTCGATCTCAATGTAAGTCGTTTTCTGGAAACTTCTGAAGTATCTTATCAATATACGCTGGTTGATTTAACCATATCGTCTTTTCTTCTCTGTTCCTGGTCACCTTCATACCTAGAATGATACTTATCTCCCCCAGGTCGGTTATTGTCCATCTTTTCCCTAGCCCATCGAAAATTTCTTTTGCTTCTTCCTTCGATTTTGTGGCTAATACTAGATCGTCAACATAGGCTAGCAATATTGCTGCTCCCTTTCCTTCAATTTTACCTTCTGGTCTATAGTAAAGACCCCAATCTGATTCTATCCTGGAAGAACCTAGGTGAGATAATCCTTCCCCGAGTTCAATACACCATGTTCCTCCCGCTTGCTTTAACCCGTAAAGAGACTTGACTAACTTCAAGGCGTTACATCCAGGTTTTGGCTTTATTCCCCTTGGATACTTCATACAAATTTCGACATCGAGTTTACCGTTTAAATACGCCCCTTCGACATCGGCCTGACGAATTTCGAGATCTTCGGTGGCCGCTATAGTCAAGGGTATTTGTAACAATCCCGATCTACCAACAGGTGCTAATGTCTCTTCGTAATCGACACCTGGTACCTGTGAGAATCCTTGAGCTACTAGTCTGGATTTATACTTTAGTAGGTTTCCTTCTGAATCTGTCTTCACTCTGAATACCCACTTACAGCCTATGGCTTTTCAACCCGGTGGAAGTACCGTTTCCACCCATGTTTCTTTAGATTCAATGTTAGATATCTCTTTCCCCCTTGATTCTAGCCATTTTTCACCATCTGGGCCGTTCACTGCTTCCTCAGGAGAGACAGGATCAATGATAGAAGTGTCACTTTCGATACCTGCGATAGAGGCGAGTGCGACTAACCTATTAGGCTCGCGACTGTCACGAGACCAACTAACCAGCATTGGGACGATATAACAGTGCCCTTCAGAGGCAGTGGTCTAAACCACTGTGCTAAAAGGCCTATTAACCGGCGGTTACTGCATACCGCCGGTCGCTGGTTAAATACCCAACCCATACTATCACTATCACTATCAAACTAACTTGTCACTTCGTGACATTATGCCTTCCCTTTCAGCCCCATCTGGGGCCCCAACAGGGAAGGGTACGATAGGCTGAAAACTTTCTCCGAGAGGGAGGTTTTCCAAGTAGGGACTGAATTCGACCCAGCCCACCCTGGGAGTCGAACCCAGGATCCTACCCGTAACCGCCGGTTAATCTGTCACGAGACCAACTAACCAGCATTGGGACGATATAACAGTGCCCTTCAGAGGCAGTGGTCTAAACCACTGTGCTAAAAGGCCTATTAACCGGCGGTTACTGCATACCGCCGGTCGCTGGTCAAATACCCAACCCATACTATCACTATCACTATCAAACTAACTTGTCACTTCGTGACACAACGCCCCCCGACGACTTTCTGTTGAACAGGAGACCCGACTCATCAGCAAGATCAATGACTTTGCAGCTCGAGGTACCCTTCTTACTCCTCGACATGTCAAAGAACTCGCGGAATCGGTGTGTGCTGAGAAGATTGGAGTCAATTGGGTTTCTCGCTTTGTTCATCGACACCAGGATGTATTGTCCTCTCGATTTTACTCATACAAGGAAGCTTCTCGGCTCAAAGCGGATACTCCTGCTGTGTCACGAACTACGTCGTGACACCTCGATTACTCCACCAACAATGACCCTCCTTTGGCCATCAAAACCCCATCACGCCTTAACCTCTTTACTCTACACGTAACTCAGGACTTCTGACACCAAGTACGGCGAAGTTAGACGGAGTTAGGCTAAGTAGGGACAATGGGAGCAGAAGTACGGCGAAGTTAGACGGAGTTAGGCTAAGTAGGGACAATGGGAGCAGAAGTACGGCGAAGTTAGACGGAGTTAGGCTAAGTAGGGACAATGGGAGCAGAAGTGCGGCGATGTTAGGCGGAGTTATTCGAAGGAGGAAGAGGATGGCCGAGGGCTCGGGGAAGTTGGACGAAGTGCGTTGAAGTACGTCAAAGCGCGAGAGGGTTGGATGAACGTCTAGGAGGAGTAGATAATATTAGCTGAGAAGATCGCTGAAGTTCTTCAGCGATGAACTTCAGCGATCCTTGATTGTTGTCAGTAGTGAGAAACAGATAGAGATAGCTATATACAATTCGAGATACATCGCCATCAGTAGAACAAAACCCCAGTTAGAGTAACTACGCCGAAGTACGCCGTAGTTACACTCCTTTCGACGTCTGCGCCCTCTCGGTTGGGTGAGACTTCAACTCAGGAGCATCAAGTTAGCCGAGGTTCGTCGACCGTCGGTCTGCCAGAAGATAGTTGTTCGACGGCCGTGACATGCTGTCAGGAAAGCATTCTACACCTTGGTGAGTGACAGTATTCCTAGACGCTTTCTGAAATGTCCCAAAACTAATTGACAGGTCAAGGAAGTCTATGAGACCGGTCTCTATTCTCCTTCCTGTATCTTTAACATGGATGAATCACCTTTCAGTCTCTCATATGAACAAAGAGTACGCCGAATTGGTCCTCGCAATCATCCTCATAATGGTCAAGCAATCCCTTCATCTCGCGAACACATCACTGCTGTCCATTGTATCGGTATCGACTCAGCTCCGGTTCCCCCTCTCATCATCTTTCAAGGTGCACAACTCCAGGAAAGTTGGACGGCGGAGCATGAGAAGGATGTCCGGCAGATAGCAACTGTCAGTAACTCCGGCTGGATCAACAGCTACATCATGATCCAGTGGTTAGAAACAGTTTTTGATCCCTTCACCAAAGACATCGCCAACGGTCGCCGTCGTCTTCTCTTCCTCGATGGAGCGGAACCACACACAAAAGTCGACTTTCTTGAAGCCTGCTGGGCAAAGAACATCGTATGCATCATCCTCCCTGCCAACATGACCGACAAATTCCAACCTCTTGATGTTGATTTCTTCAAACCCCTCAAAGACGCTTACTTCCGACACCTTAACAATTATCAACTAGGAGGGTCTATGTTGAATGCCGTGAAGGGTATGTTCTGGCCATGGCATCAACGTGCATGGAGGGAGACCGCAACCTTGAGACAGTTGCGAGGGGCATGGAGGAAATCAGGGCTCTGGCCATTGGACAGAAAGGTGATGCGGGTAGAGGAGGATGCTCTTGAAGCAAGACCAGTGACACCACCCCCCAGAGATCTCAAACTCAATCCACTGACACCCTACAACCTACGCGTCCTTCGAAGCAACAATCGTGCAGTCAGGCGAGGTGAAATGTCACGGACGGGGTCTAATCCCCAGAGGGTAGGCAAGGTGACTGGAATGGGGCTGTAACCCAATACTTGTCTCTGGCTTGTAGAGCTTGAGGAGTATACAGAGGGTGACAAGGGACTGAGGGGACTGCAAGATGTCAGGCTGGGACTGACTGGATTGACACAAGATCCATAGGTGGGGAACAACCAGTTTGGAGGGGGTATTTATCCCCATCAAGCGGGTTGCTCAACATGTCTACGGAATAAACTAGAAAGCGCAAACGTGGGAAAGATTGCTCAGCGAGCAGACTGAATTACTACTTTGGGAAAGTGGAGGCAGGCACTGAATGTTCCGGACTATGGATGATTGCTCAGCAATCAACCAGAGTTACTACTTTGGGAAGGTGGAGGCAGGCACAGAATGTTCCAGAGTGTGGAGGCTTGATAAGCAAGTGGAGGTAAAGGTGGAGGCAAGGGTGGAAGGTTCCAGCATGTGGAGGTGGAGGTGGAGGTATTCAGGGGTATGCGTTTCAAGTGTCTGATTGCGCAAAAGCACTTTGACAAGTGGCAGATAGGTGATGTATGACATGAAATCAGTCCGACAACCAACATGCTGAAGCTTGAGAAGTCCTGTGAAATCTTGCTAGCGGATAAGGCGCTTACGGATTATGAGTTGATGAGTGTACGGGATGCGCAGGCATTGGAGAGGGCAACCAGGGCTAGTAGAAAGAAGCAGAGACATCCAGATGGACAATTATATGATCCTGAGTATGCTGAGGAGCATGCGGCCGAGTTGCAGGAGAGGAAGCAGAAAGAGGCAGAGGCGAGAAGGAAGAGACGGCGCACGGAAGGGAGAGCAGCTGGGGGAGGTTCTGAACACCCCCAAGCATGCATAGCAGGGCCATCTAATACCTCGCAAAGTTGTTTCACTGTATCTATCACTCTAACCTTGTTATGCATGTCTAAAAGTACAATAAAGGAATCGGGATGATATCCGAGAAAGTGGTCGATCCGAGAAAGTCGTGACGACGAGTACAGTTATACAGTGTCTGATGAAGAGTACAAGAATCATCGATGGGTCCTTGATAACCCAGACAAAACCCCGCCTTTTGTCCCCCCTCACAATTCCTGGATGACTCGACTCGAATGCGCAAGTACCACCGTCTCAGTGACGATAAACATGATGTCTTAACGCAACCAGCTGGGGAGTCATCCTGGTACAAGCTTGTCCCGGTATCGGAAGTTTTTGCAAAGGTCAAACATGTACACTGCAATATTGTCGCCCACTCAGGTCAGAACAAGACATTGTCCGAAATTCGTGCTCATTATCGAGGAATTGGCAAGTTTGAAATCAAAAAGATGATTGAGGCATGTAATGTCTGTCAGTTGAAGTAAGTGCTCTTGTAAATGTGAATGCTAAATGTGCAGAGCGCGCAGTAAAGATAAGGGTGACCTTCAGCCATTGAAGTCAGAAACTCCTTTTGAGCACATCCAAATTGATCTCATTGATATGCGAGCCGACGGGTGCATACAGGATAATGAACATTACTATTGGATTTGTCATATCAAGGATCATTTTACAAAGTATTCACAGGTGGTGAGTGATAGATAGGTTTTAGTATTATGATTGCTGATCATGAGTACCCAATGACACAGAAGACAGCAAAAAACGTTGAGTTCTGTCTCATGACATGGATTAACCACTTTGGCGCCCCAGATATACTCCAATCAGACAATGGAAGAGAGTTCTGCAATAAGCTCATCACCGACCTAGCTGAGAAGTATGATATGAAGATAAAACATGGACTTCCACGAACTCCACGAGTTCAAGGCCTGGTTGAGCAGGCCAATGGTACGGTGAAGACTTGCCTAGCAAAGTGGCGTATTGGGAATCCAAGTCGTCCCTGGTAAGAGTTCTCACTCCTGGCACTTACTTTGACTGACATTTAGGACCGAAGGGCTTTCCCACATCATCCGTTCAATTAACTACACAAAACATAGTGCAACTTTACACACGCCACATGAGGCGGTATTTGGAAGAAAGCACCGAGAGATACAACTGTGGGCTGACGGGGGAGAACGAACCATGATGTACGAGAATGACCCTTTGGGAGAGGAGACATCAGATAGAGAGAATGCTGAGAGTGGGGAAAGTGTTGTTGGTGACAGAGAATTCCACTGGGAGGATGAAACTCCCCAAAACAAAGAGAGAACAACACAGACTGAACACAACCAGGAACACCGAACTCATTCTGAAGAAGGGACAGGGATAGAGGATGACGATATGATGGTCACGGATCAAAGGGATACACCGAACACTGAGGATAGTGCCAATATCGGACGTAGGCAGGACAACACAAGGGAGACATCCATAGAAGGGGAACAAGGTGAGCAAATTTTTTATCCCGGCCTGAGAGCTCATGAGAAAGATACTCTGGACCCCATTGGGGCAAGCGGACAGGGTAGTAGCCCAATTAATCGACTTCATGAGAAAATGAGGGGAAGGCAAGAAGTGGTTCGGAAACAAATGATTGCTCGATATGGTGCTACCAACATCCACTTTACATACAAGATCGGTGATCAGGTTACTCTGTATGTTCCTGCAAGTGATAGACCCGGAGCTCCAGCAAGTCGAATCCCCTGCCTGGTTTGTGAAGTGTTCAGCAGCCCCAATGAGCCACGTGCATATCGATTACTCTGTGTAGCTGGAGTGCTAGGACGATTGTATCAGAGTAAAGCTCTCAATCCTGCGGAGGATTTTGATATTCCGGAGGACGTTCGCCTGGCACTCAAGCAGTGGAAGAGTCAACCAGTGATAAGTCTCAAAACAGCGGCACGAAAACTGCTAGGTGAGTCGCATTTCCAACACATTCTAGCTGACAAGTCAGGGGTTTCTAAGATGGAGATAAAGTGCAGGTGTAAAGGGAACTGTGCTACCAAGTCCTGCAAGTGCCGGAAACAAGGTGTTAAATGCTCTTTATACTGTCATGGGGCTGAACGAGAGTGCAGCAATTATGCTCGTATGACCGCCACTGAACGAACTTTTGTGGATTGTGGGTGTTAGGGACACAGCCGGAGACGTTCAGCTCCGGAGCTGCACGGTTCAAAATACCCCCTTTGGACCCAGCCGGAGAAGCGTACACCTCCGGAGGTGACCGGACACAGCCAGAGCTTTTTCAAAATTGTGTTATAATCACTGCTTAGCCCCTCTTCTTTGTGTGTGCTACTGATGACTCTATGTACCACTATCTCCATTGTGTCTCTTTCACAAGCAGTGTGAAACTCTGACCTCCAAAACTAACCCAAGAGTCTCTTCTTGGACCTATCCGGATGTCCCAATTGTTGGTTATTCATGAGTGTGTGCAAGATAGTCTGGGGACCAGGTGTGTATGGTCATCACCAAACAGGTGTTGAGTACTTATCTTGCTTATAAACTCCGTTGTGGTTCTCTTTCATGGGGTGAAATATGTATTTTAGATCGGCTATGCTCAATCTCTCCCCGGAAGAACACCCAGGAGTGCGTTCAGCTCCGGAGTGGAATGTCTCCCACTGGGTCTGATCAGGTCCGTGCAGCTCCGGAGGTGCACGTCTCCGGCCGTGTCCCTAACATGGGGAAAGTAACTCTAGTGATAGCACCAAAAGCAACTCACAGAAGCAACATGGAAGAAAGCGTAGAAAGAGGGGGATTGAGTGCAGGGACAAGGAAAAAGATTGGAGTATATCTAGTGGTCACCGGAGTGATACTCCTCCAGGTATGTATTTCACTGGATGATTGATCTGCAACTGACTGAAAGACTACAATAGCGAAGATAACACTTCCATACCAGCTCTGGAAAAAGAGCAGGCTGATCTTGGGAATGATACCAGCGGTAGCGAGGAATCCGTCTGGCCAGAACACTTCTCGGAATTTGAAACATGGAGCGATTGCGATGAACGTGATGTTCCTGCGGGCTTTTGGGATTCACGAAGTCCCCTTGAGGAATATTCAGAATACTTTCCCGGTAAGGACAAGCTCTGGTTGGCTGAAGTCTGGGAAGCTGAAGGGAGAACCTGGAGTTTGGACAAGCCCACTCGTCTACTCGCTCGCAAATACAAATCCTGGCTGTGGAAGGAGTTGATGGTACGGCACATGCATGGGCGGAGGGGGCTCATGCAACGTGGATTCAAGGAAGAACATGCACAGGTGATGCACGCGGTGAAGGGAATCATGTTGGCACGGAATTGTCACGGCCGTCGAACAACTACTTTCTAACAGACCGACGGTCGACGAACCTCGGCTAACTTGGTCCTTCTAATCGATGTCTCACCCAACCAGGAGGGCGCAGACTTCGAAAGGGGTGTAACTACGGCGTACTTCGGCGTAGTTACTCTAACTGGGGTTTTGTTCTACTGATGGCGATGTATCTTGATTTGTAAATAGCTATCTCTATCTGTCTTTCACTACTGACAACAATCAAGGATCGCTGAAAAACTTCAGCGATCCTCTCAGCTAATATTATCTATTCCTCCTAGACGTTCATCCAACCCTCTCACGCTTTGACGTACTTCAACGCACTTCGTCCAACTTCCCCGAGTCCCCGGCCATCCTCTTTCTCCTTCGACTAACTCCGCCTAACATCGCCGCACTTCTGCTCTCATTGTCCCTGCCTAGCCTAACCCCGTCTAACTTCGCCGTACTTCTGCTCCCATTGTCCCTACTTAGCCTAACTCCGTCTAACTTCGCCGTACTTCTGCTCCCATTGTCCCTACTTAGCCTAACTCCGCCTAACATCGCCGCACTTCGTTGTCCCTATGCTCCAGGCCCCCGTATATCTTATTCTCCCGTTGTACTTCGCCGTACTTGGTCTCAGAAGTCCTGAGTTACGTGTAGAGTAAAAAGGTTAAGGCGTGATGGGGGTTTTGATGGTCAAAGGAGGGTCATTGTTGGTGGAGTAATGGAGGTGTCACGACGTAGTTCGTGACAGTCGCCCCCTTCTTTAGCCGTGAACGTCCTCGTGAGCGATTACACCTGTACTGTGGCAAGAAAACTTAGCAGCGTAGTACTCCCATCCTCTCCCTCCCCCTAACCACCCTTTGCCCCTTCTGCTCTTTGCGCCGCACTTCGTAGTTGAGCCTCCTTTCACTCCAAAACCCGACAATGAGACTCCCCTAACTTCGTCGAGGTTTGCCGTAAGAAGCCCTGTGTCTTTTGTAGGTGAGACACGCTTCCCGGATGGCAGCCGAACAACACCGTTGTTTGTCGAAGTAACCCTCGCTTATATTGAGATGAGACACTATAGCGTGGGAATTTTGATCGTCCCTGCGTTGCCTTTCGTTGATGAAACACGAAGTTTGCTGCATGTTGACGACGAGGAGGTAGGTTTGATTATACTAAATATTGAGCAGTTCTTCGAGTTTCTCTCTTTTCCCCATCTGCTTTCGAAACTTTCTATCTCTCTTACCTAGAAAACAGATTTGTTACCTTGAATAATCGCCTATAGTTTTATTTCTCTTTTAAATATCTTAACGTCATGGCCCCCTCTACTCCCACTCCCAGCCCTTTCGCCGCCATGAGGAACTTTGGTGGTATGGTGTCATCTGCTCGTGAGTTTTCATCGATACTCACCCCACCTCGCCGAACTTGGCTGATGTTCAGTTTCTTTCGGCGACAGATCTCGCCAAGTCTCCTCCCTCGGCCTCGGCACTCTCTCTCTGGGGGAGCCGTCTGGCGCTGCCTCGCCTCCTCGCTCCGCCTCTCCTCCTGCTGGTTCTCCCTCCCCCGTGTCTGGTTCTCGCGTCCCCGTAACGGGTTCTCCTGGAGGGCCTCCTCCTGCCGCCACTCCTCGCCGTAGGACGCCCGCCTTTCGTCCTGGTGAGTCTCCGTCCTCCTCCGATCAGGACTTGCTCAGTGGGGGCTCGGAGTCGAGTGATCAACCCGACACCGAAGAAAGTGAGGATGATGATGATCGGGAGGGTAGGATTGATACTGAGGGTGAAGATCGGGAGGGTAGGATCGATAGTGAGGGTGAAGACGAGTTAGAAGAATACCCGGATGATGATGTGGAGGTGTTTAGTGTAGAGGACAACAATGTAGATAGTCCTGAGTGTGAGTCCTCCGTCCACCCTCTCACACCTTCGCCGAACTTGGCCTTGTTTATCTGTTCTTTAGCTCTCCAAGACATTGCTAACTCGCAGCCGTTCCTGCCCCTCCCCCTGCTCAAATTGTGGGCCAGAAACGACGCCGTTCCCTCTCCTCTTCTTCTTGTTCCTCCTCCTCTTCCTCTTCCGGGGTTCTCCCCCCCGCCAACGCCATCGCCGCTGCCGCCGCCGCCGTCGCTGCTCCCCCCCTTCTCCCAGAGGGGAGCCTTCGCCCAAACGGGTGAAGAGATCACTGCGGGAAGAAGAGTACTTGTGGGAGAAGATGAAGTCCGAGCCTGGTCGTTGGGTCGCGGTTGGTGTTGACGAAGCGTGTGATCGTTGCCGGTGAGTCCACCTATTCGTACTACGCCGAAGTTACTCCTGTTATTTAGTAGACGTGAGATTATCACGTATAATCGTCCAAACTGGCCCTGCCTCAAGGCAGTCAGGCCACACAACAAGGCCCTCCGTTGTGCTTCATGCATGTCTGGCCCCTGCTCCTTCTGTCCCGTTTCCTCTGCCCGGGACATCCCGCCCCGTCCCTTCGGCGCTTCTCCTTTCCCCCCTCCCCAGACTCCAGCGTCTGCCCCCCGTTCGCGGGTACCGTCTTCGTCTCTCCGGTCGGTTCGCCGAACTTCGCCGTCCTCCCGCTCGTTGCCTCCCTCGCCGTCGCCCTTCGCTCCTGTGGCCGGCCCGTCACGTCTCCCGCCTGCTCCTCCGTCAGCCTCCCGTCGCCCTTCGGCCCCTCGTCCCTCGGTCTCTCGTCCTTCGGCCCCTCGTCCGTCCTCTCCCGTGGTGCCTTCTCCTCCGGCCCACGGCACCCGAAGTCGTTGTCCCTCTGCTCCTCCGGCCACCCCAGTGGCCGCCCCTGTCACCGCGTCCCCCGCTTCCAAGAAGACTCCAAAGTCTTCTCTAAAGAAATCAAAAGGGAAAAGGGTGGAGAAAGAGGTCGTCTTTGAAGCTGGTGATGTGGAAGATGAAGCTACTCAGCGTGCTGGGCCCTCTGTTCCTCGGTTGTCCTTCGTCCACCCTCGCATCTCCCTGGACCCTCGTATCCCGGAGGACGAAAAAGAATTTGCTACGTATCGTTCTCTCGTTCTCGGCCTCACCACTCAGCTTGACGTCGCTCGACGTGATACATCTCTCTTGCTTGACTTCTCCACTCGTCAAGCCAACGCCTTGAATAACCTTACTGCGGCGTTAGTAGATGTAGTCAACGGTGGGAATCTGAACGAGGAAGCAAGGACGAGGTTAGCGGACGTCTCTCGCCGAAGCCTTACTTAGATAGCCGATGTTCGCCGAAGACTTTACGACACCCCCTTCCTCGTTACTCCTATTGTCACGGGCGGGGTCTTATCCCCAAAGGGTAAGCAAGGTGACTGAAATGGGGCTGTAACCCAATACTTGTCTCGGGCTCGTAGAGCTTGAGGAGTATACAGAGGTTGACAAGGGACTGAGGGAACTGAGGGAACTGCAAGATGTCAGGCTGGATCTGACTGGACTGACAAGTTGAGAATGAGATTCAACATGAGATTCATAGGTGGGGAACAATAGATGAAGGGCTCAGGGGTTCAGGGGTAGGTGTTTCATGTGTGGGAGTGTAAGAGATAACAATAGGGATTGTTGATGGAGATCAAGAACAATAAACCTAAGCCAAAGGGGGTCAGGGGAAGTGTTCCAGATGTGTTTCAAGTGTGGGAACACGAGAAAAGACTATCTTAGGTGGCAAGTAGGTGATGTATGACAGGAGCTCCCTCTCTAAGGGCGAAGTCCTCTGAGCCGGGAAGGTGTGTTGTTCAGGTTGATTTGCTTAACTTTGAAGATTGGTGTGCTGAAGCAGGAGGAAAGTGGTGATGTGGATTCTTGGAGTGTTTACGTCGAAAGGCTTTGTAGGCGGTGGTAGTGTGGACCTCCTCCAAGGTTCCCAGGAATCATGGGCGTTGGAGTATCCTGACCAGTGTACAAGGTAATCATATCCTCCATCATCACTGATGCGGGAGTCAAGGAGGTTATCAACTAGGTATTCTTCTTGTCCTTCAACTTCAATACGTGGTGGTGGGTCCTGAGGTTGTTGATGGTGACCGGAGCGCACAGGCTCAAGCAGGTTGACATGGAAGACAGGGTGAACATTCATTGAGGGTGGAAGTTCAAGTTTGAAGGCAAGCGGGGATGATGTACTTTGAATGATTTTGAATGGTCCAAGCATTCGGTGATCGAGTTTGAGTGAAGGTCGTAGAGTCTGGATATTTTTACGATTTAGGAAGACCATATCTCCAACTTTGAATATTGGTGTTCCTTCTTTGGTGATTTGTTTGACCTTTTCATTGTAGAATTTAGCATGTTGGGTTTGGGCTTTTTGTATGTTGGTTATCAAGGCTCTGTGAAGGTCTTGGAGTTCTTGGATATGGGATGTCACAGATGGAACTGGAGTGTTGACAGAGAGAGCTGGGGAAGTTGGATCTCTGGGGTGATAACCATAGTTGGCTTCAAAGGGAGAATGTTTGGTTGTAGCGTGAACAGAGTTGTTATAACTGAACTCTGCAAGGTCTAGGAGTTGGGACCAGTTGGCTTGGTCGTAATCACAATATGTTCGGAGGTAATGTTCAAGGACTTGATTGACTCTTTCAGTTTGACCGTCAGATTGTGGGTGGAATGCTGTGGAGAAGTTTGGTGTGATGCCTAAGCCTTTGACAAAGGCTCGCCAGAAGTGGGAGTTGAAGATTGATCCACGATCTGAGATGATGTCTTGAGGTATACCGTGAAGTCGGACAATGTGTTGGCGGAACATCTGGGCTAGTTGTGGAGCATCAAAGCCATCTTCTTTGTATGGGACAAAGTGTGCTTGTTTGGTGAGACGGTCCACAAAGACCATGATGCAATCAAAGTTGTTGGACAAGGGAAGTTTGACAATGGCATCCATGCTGATAGACTGCCAAGGCCTGGTTGGGACAGGGAGTGGTTGAAGAGGACCGTAGGGTTTGTGTCTGGGAGTTTTGTTCTGCACAAGTGTGACAACC